TAGAATCGGGCATTTCGACAACCACATTCAGCCAGACACAAACTTTTAATTGAGATATAAAACATTAAAATCCGTCAAACCGTTCTCTAATTATAGTCGATGTAGTTTAAATTAATTTTTTTATATTGGGGGCTAGACTTTCGGGCGTTCACATGTGCATAAACAACGAGCCGAACAAGGTGTCATTCCGGGGGCTGTACAAGGTTAACGGGAGAGAATTGAAATCGGGCATTTAGTGATTTCGATAGAAGAAACTATGACGATTCGAATGACGTATAGATCTTGATCAAGGGGTACATCGTCTACGAGTTATCAGCACTTAAAAAAGGTCATTTTTGTGTTATTTTTGTCTACCTTCGCATTATGTTGGCGTTTTAGCGAAATTCGAAAGAGATTTCGAATCGGGCATTTCCACTTTTGTATTGGTCAAAGATTACGCTTTCGAATGAGACATTGTTTATCGAAATCGGTTTACTGGTTCTCTTCTTATAATCAAAATACTATACATGTAAAATCTTATCTAATTGGGGGCTAACTTCGCATAGGTGAAATCTAAACAATTTTATACCTTATTAGCAAGTTTTAGTACGGTGTTGTGACTATCAGAGAAATAAAATGGTGATGATATTTCACTTGTGCCTACTACGCGCATTCGTAACAATTTATCATCAAAATCACCAACAGGCCATAAAGCACCACAACTGTTGGGTTGTACGCTTGTCCATGCATCTCCTGGTCGATCGTGCTCTTGGCACTCAAGTGGAAATGGAGATTTATTAATAAGAATGTAATAAGGTGTAAAGGTGACTTGCTTAGTTAAACCGTTATATGTAAGTACGATGTTAACACCAAACTAAGAAATATAAATGTGTAATTAATACTCGGTGCGATTTAATTATTTGTATTTACCTGATAAAATTTGTTATCATATTTGCAAGTTATTACACCTGAAGATCCCGCAACGTCTATTGAGAATTTATCTGACCATTCTCCACCATACTCAATCCTTATCGCAGTTTTACTTGTACCAAAAAATTTCTTTGCGTTAAGTGAAAATAGTATTGGACCTTTGAAATTAGCTGGGTGGTGAAGAACGTTAAAGGTTTCATCGGAACACTAAAAATATAAGAATATACAAAAAATAGAAAATATACTGCGGAATAATAAGAAAATTCTTTTAAATTATGCTTTAAGAAAGTTTTAGTAGAAGGGTTAATAAATGTATTGAAGTGGGTGGGAAAATATTTTAACATTTATTATAAATTTTATACTTGTTGATATAGTTTAATCATTTTTTATAAATAAACAATATTTAAAACTATTTGAATACAAAAATTATTTAGATTTTGTCTACAAAAGATGAATTTTGATAACCAAGAAATTGATATAATTGTTGTGAAATTTTTAAGAAAATCGTAAAACACTTTAATGAAAACATAAATTGCCATTATATACACATATTTTGTTTGACAAAGTTGTTTGCTATACGGTATTCCTTTTTTCTTTGTATATCTAATAAGATCTTACTGCTTCGTGAATTAGTTCATAGACTTAGCTAAACGAACACCATATTTACAAGTAGCTTGAGATCTTGCCTAAATTTTCAACATTTTTCTGCCAACCCACTCACAATAAAATCTTCAACTCATTTCTTTCCTCTTCTGCTATTCTGTCGTTTTGAAAGTTAATCAAGTCTTGGTTGGTAAATTACCGTATTTTCTCGAATGTAATCCGCACCTTTTTTACAAATTTTATGTGCTCTAAAATCAAATGCGGATTACAATCGGGTGCGGATTAGATTCGCAATCGTATAGTTGCAATTTGGAAACGATATTTACATTTTTATGTATCATGTTCTTCCCATATTACGTCATCTTCGGATCAATACAGATCAATTCGGATTATACAAAACTTCTTAAATGATGTTATAATATTGTTTTCAGGGATCGTTGTCCATGTCGCCTACACTCACTGAACAAGTTCAGAAGCTCCTTTAATTGCTCCCGGTTTTGTTAATTCTCGAGTTTGTTAATATACATATACATACACAGGTTGTAGTATGGATGTTATTCCACCAGGTATTATTATTATGACAAGAAGTCTAAACCAAGGGCAATCAGTCTATGATTAATTCATATCCTTATTTAATAATCCTCCTGGTCTAATACTCCATACTTGTCTTAATCATTCCATCATCAGCTTTTCCATTATCCATCCTTTTTGTTGTGCCCTAACTAGGACGTCATTCAGGAAATCTTTCAGATTTCAGAATGGTTTTTTCTCAATATTAATAATGACAGCAATTTTTCCCTATCACTTGTTACTGCGCATCAATGTTATGCGCAATTTTTCGTAACCACTCGTTTATAAAGAAATTTCCCACACACCTCTTCTTTCCAGTGTGTAATTGGGTGGCAATCCAGATATACTACCATTTCGTTGACATTTACAGTTTGAGACAAATTGAAATTTTCTTGAAAATCATTAGGAGCTTTTGGGAAATTGTAGTTCTGCGCCTCAACGATAACACTATTCGGCGCATAAATCCCACAATCCAACCTTTGCTAGTATTAAAAATTTTGTAGTCCCTCCTTTCGTTTTTCTTGAGAGAACTAGAAAACTGCCTCGTCAATTTCATGAAATCGCTCTTCTTTGGCCCGGTAAATTTTTTGCACGATGCCTCACAGTCTGCAATAGCTACCTTGTGTTTCCGCAACAGCCGCAACGTTACTTTCATTAACAGCAAAAATTGTACCAGCTTTTCGATTTCCTTAACGCTACCTTAATAACATCTCTTTAAACTTTGCTGTATAGAAGAACCTCTTAGATTTTTGCTACTTTTTTTGTAATTACGCTATTATATGTATAATTAAGCACACACCACGTTCGAGCTACTACGAGGGCAGTATATGAACGGAATTCGTGCTAGGCATTACTGTTTATTTTTAAAATTATATTTATTTTCCAATTTTTTCTGGCTTAGTAAATTTAAAGTCTAGTCTAATAAAAACTCGTCGTAAGCAAGGTTTCTTTAGGTGCATCAGCGTCAGTCAACAGAAAAAATATATATTTATTGTTAACAACAAGCATCGCATCGTTTTGGTGTTGTCGAATTGCTCAAAGAAAGATGTGGATTACAATCGCAAACTAAATGTTTTTACCACTATGCATTTTTAAAATCGGGGTGCGGATTAGATTCGAGTGCGGATAAGATTCGAGAAAATACTGTAATCTTCTTCGTGTGCCGCGCTGCACGCTCATCTTGCATTGGGTTTGCCATCGTATATCGACGCTGCCAAGCCAAAACTACATAAACGACATCTACTTGATTTTCCCCCTTGATCTTATCTTCTTTAGTTATAAATGTTTTTTGCAGCAAATAAACCTGTATCATCAATGTTAAAAGACCTGGCCAAGACTGCCAACAATTTTGCCACACTTTCAGTGTCTACAGCAATTGAATGTTGTATAAATTTAACTTCTTCTTAAAGTTTTCAAATGATCGATGGCTTGCAACAATTGTTATATCTTCCATTGATTTTCCTTTCTTAACTTTCAATCATTTCATAAACTCCAAGTTTTATTTGAATGACTCTCAGACTTACTAGAATATGCCGACTTGTCTTACTTACGTGGCTTTAATAATAATATGTAATAATTTTGTCTCTCTTTCAAATTCCCGTTATATTAATAGCACCATTCTTTATCTTATCAAGAATTTTGCAGTAGTTTTCAAAATACTATTAATTGCAGCTTTCCAAAAATCCAATCTTCGCCTTCTTATTCAACCCGGTCCAAAAACTTAATAATTTTCAAATTTTTTCAACATTTCTTAAAAATGTTGTTAAAAACCTTGAAAACTTTTCACCATTTTTCACCAGAGTATAAATATTTCCTCAAAATTAAATATTAAAACACTAACTTACTTTATAGGCAATATTCAGCTCCGATTTATTTAACATCCAAAACGGACAATAAAGTGTCATTAGCAACGGACCTTTGTCTTCCACGCTATGAACACCCAAATCTATCGAGACGTTTAATGTACTATCATAACAATCAAACGTCCACACCGAAAATTGAGGTGGATTTGCTGGAATATCTTGGATACAACTCCACTCTTTATCTAAATAATTAGGAATCTAAAAAATTATGAGCGTCAGATTAGATATCATTTTTTTTAAGTTATAAAAAAATTCTTACTCTAACTACTATGTACGAAACACCTGGAAATCCATTCGTAATAGGTAAAGTACAACCCGGTTCAACTAAAAATTCATCATCAATATTTTGCACTGTTATAATAATTTTATATGGAAGATAATTTCGGAATAATACTGCAGGGTGGACGTGTATGTTACATAAAACACTATTCATAGTACGTTTTAGTGTATTTTCGTTGTAAATTTGTTCAATATGACTACTTGTCTAAAGTAACAAATAATACTAATGACAATTTCTAACAGCGTATTTTTTCTTACCTTGATTACAAATGGTTCTGAATGCCCCAAAAGCGTTGTTGGTGGACATTGTAATAATTGACACTGATTTACTTTTAAATATAAATATTTCCAAACAAACGGTTTGGTGGTTACAGAATATTTTTGAACAGCGAAAAATAACTCACACGTAGGCGTATAAACAGCATTAACAGGAAAATAAAATGTTTCTTCCGGTTCTATAGATCCAACAAATTCTTTTTCCTGTTCTTTAGGAGTCATGCAATAAACGCTTATTGGTAGATGAAGATGATTATGAACCTATAAATATAAATTAAGAATACAAAGAAAAATAATTATATGATAATTACCTTAACAATGCTGCTTAGAATTACTTTAAAAGTAGTTTCTTCGATTAACATTGAAGCTACAATACCCCAAGTATCTCTATTATCCCGATAGTGTAAAGAAAAATATCTTGCATCGGGCTTAGCTAAACTTAACTCAATTTCACATTGCATTTCCATCACCTAGATGAAAAATAAAATTAATATATATGACCATTTATGTTTAAATTAATTTCTTGCCGTTATATATAAACGTTTATCAATAATATTCAAATTTCCAAGAATTTCATTTAAAGAATAATCATCTCTATCGCTTTCTTTAAGTTGTAAAATTACTTCATCTCCATGCTCCATAATCACTTCATTTTCCCCATCTTGTTGATAAACAGAAAATTTACTTTTTTCAAAATCAATTCTCACCTTCAAGCCAGATTTATTAATAATTTTATATGGATGATTGTCAAGTTGAGGTGGTTTAAATGTTGTTAAATCGATCTTATTAGAAAATGATTGACCTAAATTCGTTAACATTTCTAATGTAGTTTTTGATATGGTTACTTCTAAATTAGTATTTGATGAAACGATCACCGACATTTTCGGTTGCCCGGATAATACTATTTCTCCATCATGATGCGTAAATGGTAAACTTGAAGCATCTTCCCTATACTTAGAAACATCCACTTTTAATTCCCAAGGCTGATGTATTGTGACATTCTCATGGAAAGTACCGTTAGGTTCGATTAAAGGTTCCCACGCAGCAAAGTTACTGTTGTAATAGGCTATTTGTAGCGTTATAGTTGCATCAACAGCCATCTAAAAGAAAATATTATACTAAATTAAAAATTTGTGATAAAATTAGTTATTTACGTCTGCACTCCAATCTCGAATATTTCCTTCGAAACAAGATTCTAACATCAATATAGGCATTGCGGCGTTTAACTCTCCTGTTTCTAGAGTTAAAACTAAACGAGCTACTCTAATTATGCACATTTCATATTTCTTTCCCTCAAAAGAAATTGGATATACTCCACCGCGAATGTATTCAATAGCATCTTCTGTAACACCTGTTAAAAGTAGTATGCAATTTAGGAACATAAAAAGTATTGTTTGGAAATAAAAATATGGGGAAAAAATAAAATTAAATCGACAGTCAATTAATTTTTATTACTTACTTGTGTTAAAGAACCAATATTGTTTTTCATTGTACGGTTTAGGAGACCATAAATCGAACATGTTTGCAAAGGTCTCGTCCTCCTTTTTTGAATCTTGTTCCATTACAAACCTTGCTGAGTACACCCTATTTAATAATTGAGTCGTGGTGGGTGAAATTTTTATTCGTATTTCAGTCAAGCAAATCTAATAAATAAATAATTAATATGATTTAAGGAATTTTGTAAATTTTATTTGTAGCGTTTTCGAATCACTGCTCTAGATTGCCTAAGATTTCATCTATAAATGTTGCACTCTAAAGTAGTATGTCGAAATTGCATTAATTACCTCAATATGTAAACCTTTTCCTTCAGGTGTACTGCCTGCAATATTAAGTGTAAACGGAAATAGCACAAAATGTGTTGTTTTCTCTCTTTGAGTTGGGTTATAACAACATGTATACATTTGGATATCTTTAACTAAGCCATTTATAACTTTCTTATTATCGCTCGTACACAGTTTGATTAGGAATTCAAACTTTCAAAAAATTCAAAACAAATTATATAGTAATTTTAAAATTCTTATTGCACAACTAATAACAAATACTTACATTAATAATAATAGCGTTTGTGTTGATATCATCTAAATTTTCCACTAGTACTATATCGGGTTTCTCTACCATGACATTAACGGTTGCATTTATAACTTGTTCAGTTTGAATCTGATTAGTTGATGTTGTAATTTTAATACGTGATATACTTTGTTCCGGTACCACCGTATCGGTATTAGGATGGGGTGAAAATTCCTCGGGTAACAGCGTGGAAAGAAATGTTTGGAGTTGCAATACAAATTCCATAGACAAGATCAGAGTAAATTCTGATACTTTTAGATCGACTGAAATTCAGTTTTTAGTAAATTAATTAAAATTAGTAAAACAATTCTAGTTACCATATATATGATCGTTTTTCTTTTGAAATATAACATCTATCATACTTTTATAACTGGTATTAGCGGAATCTATATCAGCGTGATAAGTTTTTAAGAACATTTTATTTAACATATCTCCTTTTTCAATTCTTGTGTCTTTAAGTACGCAATCGACAAGTGCGACTGATGCATAAATGCTATCGTCACTCAGCATTCGACCTTTAATACAAAGATCTTCAAAGGACAGTTGTGCAAGTTTATTACGCGCAGCGTTAAGTAACCGGGGATTCTAATTTTATTAAATAATTAAACAAACATAATGAAAACAAATAAGTGAGACGTACCTTCAAAAAATCGTCAGTATAAAACAGTTTTATAGTAAAGTTATCCATAACAAGGCTAAATTTAACAACAATTGTAACTTCCTCTATATTATCAGCTGTTTGCGATTGTATCTGCTTAGATTTAACATTGACGAGCCCTCTTTCTTGAATTGGCTTTATTTCTGATGATGAAACTGATGAATGTTGGCTCACTTCACTCAAATTACCTAAAACTGTGGCAATAGCAAGACCATACTCGGTTTGTCCTAACACAATCTAAATCGTAAAATATTAAAAAGATCAAAAACATTTATCTAATAGCTTAAAACTTCACTTCAATTCCTTTAAGATATCCTTTGAACTGAATGTTAGGTATAGATTTATACCAAGATCCCGAAAGATTTCTCTTAAATTTCAAGACAAAGTTAAACGGTTTCAAAATAGTCATACTATGACGTATTTCTAATTTCTTATTAGTTTGAATCACTGATACTTGGACATTGGACAATTTCAATTCTGTTTCATCTATAACAACACTACTTCCAGTATTCTCATTTCTTATATTGAAATCCAAAAATTCATTTTTTATGGTTAAATGACCCAAATCAAACATAAGACCATACAAACTAGTCGATTTTTCCGGAATAATCACTTGGGGAGCTTTTAAATCGACCTTAATTACTATTTGAGTCGCATTTTCATAAATACTAGCTACGTTTTGCTTTGCTTTAACAGCGGCTGCTTTGGAAACTTTGATTATCGCTTCTCTGGTTTTTGTAAATATATTAACAAAATCCACTACTTTAGTTACATAAAGAGCCAGGAGTACGATTTGCATCTGACCAACAGAAACTGAAATGGCCATATCTTCACGGCGAGACGTATCGAAGAATTTATTATAAAAAAAGAAGTTGAAATTTATTACTTCTTTTGATAAAACCTTGATAATCTGAAATATTGATAAACAACAAATTTGTTATAATATTTTAATATAAATGCATTTTGATAAATATTTAAGAGAGTAAAAGAAGGTTGAGAAATGCTAATCTAAGACCTAAGAACTAAAAGCTGTAACCTAAGACTATAATTGACTTACCTGCATATACTTAGTATGTAGTGATAAATCCTTTACATCAATGGTTTTCAATATCACACTAACTTGAAAGTAGGGCTTCTTAAGAATTATTTCAGCCATAATACCCTTAACTGCTAGAGATGTAAAATCTCCCAAATCAGATCCTAAAGTGACGTGAAATTCCTGTAGTGATGTTTTCAATTGACATATAATGTTTGGAGTATCCGATCCATGAATCGCAATTTTTGGTTTATCTGCAACTTATGAAAGCAATCAAATAATTTACATATTAAAGGAATGAAAGATAAGTCAAAAAGAATGGGAAATCACAGAATCAGAAAATTAATTACATTTGAAACTTATTATTTATTACTTTACTTACTATCATGGATATGAGCTTGCGATGTATGAGAAAACATTTTGCTTACAGATTTCTTTAACTGATTCACATATAAAGTGGTTTTTAATTGTGAAGGTTTAAATTTTTTATGCAACTCTTCAATATGGATTTCTAACTCTGTTGCGTATTTCACTAAATTTTGTAAAATTTCCTGCTGTAATTTTACTTTCACTACTTCAATCTCAACAGATAATAAAATTTCGGTACTTTTATAAATGGTTGCAAAATCTGGTGATTTTTCATCAGCCTACAAAAAATAAAATAATATTAATATATATATCAAACTTACCTTTAAATTTAATTATTTACCTTTAAAAAATTAATTTCAAATACCCTATCATTTAAGAACGTCTTTGGCGTAACTATTATTGGAACTTCATAGTTTTTATGATACGAATTAAGCATAAGATTTTGTAATTCTAAGTTAAGTTCTTGAGCGTACGTTTGATCTTTAAAAGTAAGCGACAATAATTCTAAACATATTCTGGCTACATCTTCACCTGGGCTTCGAGGATACTCCTGATGTTTAAGATTAACACTAATTTCTAAAAGTTCAAATAATAATCAATTAAGTATAATCACATTTTTTAAAGAGTTTAATACGTTACCGTTTAACACAAAGTAAACTTCCAAACTTGTGTGTTGAGGATGACGAATAACTTCTTTTTTAGTTTCCTCAATGTCTTTAATAGCTAGTTTCACTTCTTTATAACTTACATTAAAAGCATAAGAACTTGGTCGTCTATATTGTGACTCTTTCTGCAATTAATTGTGTATTACGTGGAATTTCGGGAAATGTGCACATTTACCGGGAAATATGAATATCGAATTTAACATATCAATTATCGATTTTAAATAATTAATAATTCAATAACAATTTCATTCTTCGATAAAGTCTTCAACATTTCCCGGTAATTTCTAACTTTGAAATAATTACAATTGCAGAAGTTTCCTCTTTTTGAGAAGAAGGTATACTATTAATTAATCCGAGTATAAAAACAAGTTGATAATCAGTAATATTTAACGACAAAGATGGTAAAACACCATTTAATTTTACTCTTGGTAATCTAGGATCAAACTCAACCATACAAATATCAACTTCCAAATTCAAGGTGAGTGGATAAAGAATATGGTAAACTGTTTTTGGGGATTTTTTTAATATGGTTAACCAATTTTTGCCCCCCGGCACTATTATGACTTGGAAATCGGTAAACTTCAACATAAATTTGTCATAACTTTCTTCTATTAGCGCTTTTACTAACTTTTGTTGGGTATATTTCTGTTGTTTTTCCTTTATAGTTGATCTTGTTACATCGATTGAAAGAAACAACGCATGTCCTAGATTAATTGCTATAACACTTTGAGTTCCCGTGTAATGTCCACCAAATGGTATAATCACATATGGGGCCCACACATCAATTGTCAAATCGATTTGGCTGTGATTATCGATTACGTATTGTAATTTAGCTGAAGATTGGAATTTTACTTTATTAATAGTGGATGATGCCACATTTGACAACCTAATTGAAATAATTAAATAAATATTTGGAAAATTTATGATGGAATTAATCAATGCTTACTGTTGAAGTGTTGAAGAACGAGGAATAGTAACAAAATCCACAATAGTATTAATAGTAACAGCATCGAAAATTATATGTATTGGCCTTAAGAAAATGTGTAATTTATACATAAAGTTCGAATTTAATGGATTCATTGCAAAAGAAACATCGCACAAGGAACCGTCTTCGGTGGAATTATTTGAAATTAACGTTGGCTCTTTGTAAGTACCTTGTTTTACTCCAGTTACTAATATTTCCTTTATTTTTCCAGTCAGGCTATAATGTGTTAGTTTCATTACCATTTTTATGATTGATCCTGATAAATACTCACGATCCTGCATTTGCTGATGTACGTATCGCCAAATTCACAAAGATATCAGAAAGTTGTGTCAATAAAACGATGTGATTATTATTATGTAGTTTTAATATAAACTTTTTTAATGCAAATGTAGCGACAATGTCTGTGTAATCCTTCGGTTGTGTTGTATCAGGTATATTCTCATTATAGTCAATTTCTTGATAGAAAAGATCCTTTTCTGCGGGGGTCATTGTACGAATCATAGCAACTATAATCAAAATTAAATTAATTAGTATTTTATTTGAAAATAAATAAGACTTATTTTAATGTTTACCTATGTCAAACATTTTTGGCTGTTTATCTTCTTTATTAGATCGACTAAACCTATCTTTCAATCGATCTGCCAATTTTCCTCTATTCTTCGCAGCAATTTCAAGTTCAGTTAAAATCTTTTGACGTACCAGCACGATGTTCATTAAATCTAACCCTTCTTCCAACTTAGCAATATCTTTTTCAATGTAAGGTGAAAGCTACAACATTTTATTTCTACATATCGTCTTTTCGTGCGAAAAATAGCTTACTTTTTTCGATTGGAGTTTAAGTTTATACAACTCCCCATATTCTTTACACATTCTCAAATGACCCGAAATATGATTCCAATTAAAATTGTTAAATTTTCGACGCACTTGAGATTCTAAAATACAATTATAAGCAAAATGCCACCATTCCTTATAATGGCCTTTGTAAGGAACGTTTGGACGAAATTTTCTGTACGGTTTACCACGAACCATAAAAGCCATCGCATCAGCCAAACCAATTGCATCTCGATATTGTTCCTTGCTTATTGCTTTAAAAATATGTTATATATATAATTTATTATTGATTTATGTATAAATTTTTTATTACAAATTTCAAGTGGTGGCATTTCCCAATAGACAGTGACTTTGGGAATTACAAAAGGATTCTCATCTTTATCGGGTCGTAGATTTAATTTTAGTTTTGCTAGAGAAAATATAGGTTCTAAAACTGAACAAAAAGAAACGTTAAAAAATGTGTTAAAGTTCATGGCGAGTTGTGCTTGGATCACTTTCTTGCTTGCTTGGTTGACCCTTAACCTTTACGTCAACCCTCATACAAAAAAGATCTACATCAATACAAGGTTTTTAAGGAAAACGCACACTATCTGTTATCTAATTTTGGTACACACCAAAGTTTAATTCACATATTCCTGTAATAAGCTTTTTACGTATTAAACAAATAATAATTATACTTACTGTACGTATAATTTTTAGGTTTATATTGTGTTGTAGCAATTTCATCGCGTAGCTGTTCCACTAACAACTCTGGCTTTAGATCCCTATAAAGTTTAGAATAGTAATTCCAGTATATTGCAATGGATTGAATTGTCACCACCTAAAAATACAACTTCAGTTAAGGTCACCAACCATTTTCTTTCCAAAAGTACGCCGAAGGTACGATTACTTACATAACTAGTTCGAGTAAAATAACTCACCTTAAAAGCTTTAGGGACATCCTCAACTGCACCAGCAGTAGCTCCAACAGACACAAATTTATCTTTATTTGATTCAACAAGGATATGACTTAAAGTCATACCCACTGCGATAGGACATTCAGGATGCGTAGTTTTATCTTCAAATCTAACATGTACTCCTCTAATATTTACTACAACATTTTTGATGATCATCATTATGAATTTTTCAAGAAGACCTGTTATCGGTTTAAAACGTTCTTTTTTAACCCCCTCCCGAATTTGTTTTCTAATTGATTCAATTTTCGTCAACTGCTTCTGTTTTTCTGCTTGGATTTTTTTGTTTTCTTTCTCTTCATTGTATTCCTCTTGCGGGTTGGGTTCCAACAATATGAATAAGTCGGTGATTTCAATTTCCCAAATCGACGTGCTAAAATGCACGAATGATGGGAAAACTATTTTTAATCTTCCTAAAATTAAAAATTAAAAAATAATCGATTGAATATAAACTGCTAATAACACGCAAATCTTAAAAAAAGATCTACCTCGGCAAAACCATTTATATATTTTTTTTTAACAAAAGATTGTGAATTTTATGACGTAGATGAAGCGGTGGCAAAGTCTATGTTTAATACTATTAATAATAAATTAAATTTATACCTATACAACCATGAACTACCTGAACGGCTGGTAATAACTCATTTATAACGGATGGCTTTATTACAAGATTACTCAGTACAAGTTGACCTAAATATAAACATAAAGAAATAGATCATAATGGGGTATAAAAAAATACTTATATTGTTATATAAAGGTTAATTTTACATTACCTGACGTTATAGCAAGAGAGAAATGTCTTGGGTCTAAATTATCTATGTACTGGACTAGGAGTGAATTCACATGTTTGAGGAACCATGATTTGAAACTCATGATTTATTTTAACCGAATACGGTTTTCTTTTATGCCAAACTAAAAATAATACTTCAAAACTTGAACATTCTTATTATCATTGTATGACGGATCGCTAAAACTCATAACTCATAATACAGGTGGTGTTCTCCTGACTGACATACTTCAAATGTGTCTAAAGTTTAAGGCAATAATAAAAAGTATAGAAGAGGAGATATAATAAGGATTTCATAATATTCCGTAACTATAACTTTCTTTATGTTGATATCAGATGCTAAGGCCGAATTTTAGAAGGAGGTGCGTTAAAAAACACAGATTTCTAAAAAGTTGAGAGTAATATGTTGGGTTTACCACATACAAAACCACCAACTTCGTTGAGTTGGGTTGGGTAGAGAAAAGAGAGTTATGGAAAATGTATTTAGCAAGATTTAAGCTGTTTCGATTTTAAAAAAAAACAATTTTGGTAAAAACCCAAAAATGTGGTGTCATTATAATAATCCTTCATAATAATTTAATGAAAACCAAGACTTCAAAAAATATATATACTTGTGTTTAATCAGTGCCAAGCGTATAAATCTTCGAAATATTCCAAGAATGTACCTTTCACTACGCAAGTGAAACAACAAAAGTTTCGCCACAACATGAATAACATGAAATAACATTTGTTGATGTGGACCCACCTTTAACCTAGTTAACATAAGTAAAACGAATGTTTGGGATAATAAAATTTCTGTCATACCTAGAAACCTATATTAAACTAAATTATTTTGATATTAAACATTTATTAAACAAAGTAACAAGTTTAAAAAACTAAAGTGTTTACAAATATAAAAACGTTTAGAAATGTGATACACACTTCCATCATTTTTTAGGAATAATGTGTACTGTGCACCTCAATTATTACTAAACAAATAAACTCTGCAAAGTTAGCATCAGGAATCACTATTGTTTTACCGAGATCTGCTCGAGAAAACAATTTTTTTTTCTTCTTTTGATCAGAAGACATTACCAACACTCCTTTTGGTACTACCTTTGGTGGCATGCTGATCTCATCCCATGTATAAGACCACTCTGCCTAGAAAATGGCAAATAAAATATTACAAGTGACTTACACATAACTAAGAAATAGATGCTATTATGTTATCTGCATTAAGATAACATTTTTACTTACTTGCCAAATGCCAAAAATATCATTGTGTTTAATATACAATAATCTTTGATCAGTAAGCATTAGTATTTGTTTTTTACCAACAATGGAAAAGTGGTGAAGATACATATCAGTTAATGCAAATTTTCCTTTTTCCAATTCAATAAGAATCTTGTTTCCAATCGCTTCTCTTTCGTTATAAGGTCTAATTAAACCATCAAAATAAATATATCGACTTGGGCGTAATCGATTAACTTCTTGCGCTGTTAAGTCGGTTACTCTGTCACAAACGAGGTTAATAAAAGAACATTTAAAAAAATGTGAGTATTACCGTTTAACTGTATTCAAAGAACCACTTACAAAATCGATTACCCCAGTTGTTGGTCGAGCAACCAAGCCCACAGTTCCTTTTCCTAATCCTTGAAAGAATCCACCAATTCCTTTTTGTTTAGCACCGGATATCGGTTTTATGATAATACCCGTTACACCATGAAATACTCCCTAAATAATTAAAAAATAAACAAAAATCGATCAAATATAATGATTATCATCAAACCAAGAATAGTCCTTTTCCGGATGTTGCAATTCCTTCAGACACGGTTGCTTTTCGAGCGAGGGCATCTCTTCGTTTACGTTGAAATTCCTTATCAAATGTTAACGCAGCAACTCCTTTACCCATAGCACCGGTGATTCGAGCTACTGCACCGGCTGCTCCGCCGATTGTATAACTGAAAAAACTGCGTACCCCAAGAGCGAGACCTTCAGCAAATTCCCCCGGACCTTGAATAGCTCCCTATGAATAAATTACACTTTACTTACTTCACATATGCATTCAGCATTTTCTACCTGGAATGGTTCATAAAATAAATCCTCAACACCTTTCGTAATTCCAAGCACGAAACCATAAGGATTTCCAAGGACATCTAATCCTAATAGAAGCGCATAGAGTTGTTTTACAGCCTGTTTAACGTAATGACTAACAGCTTCGCCAATCAATTGTTTTTGAGTTAAAAACATATATTCTCTTTCAAAGTAAGCAATTCTAAAAACATAAACAACATTAAATTTGAACATAATAAAAATCTCGTCATGCTTTTTACCTAAATATAACGCCTTGCATATCAGTCAAAGTAACACCAACGGATTGCAACAAAACGCTAACAACATTTGGTGATAAATGAGCACCACCTGCACTACCCAATGAAAAACTCATGTGGATTTTCAACGGTGAAAAATGCAATAAATCATAAAAGCTTTTTTGTTCATGTTGAGATTGATGGGACACGTGTTGATATAAAGGCTTATTTACTAAGTCGGCATCAAGTAAAAAATACGCTTTCTAAAACGTTTTAATATAAATAATTTCTTGAAATAATCATTTTAATAATTTTTTATTTCAGACCTGTTTGTCTAAAGTATCTTCAGATGCTTGAAATACCTCTGAGACAGCCATAATAAAACCAAGTTCCACATTTATGTCAAATTCTTGTATAAACAATTTAAAATATTTAAATTGTTTTATTTGACTGTGTTTGATTAACCTTTGCATTATACTTAACTCAGCAAAGGGTTTGTGTACTAAAAATTAAAATAAATATTGTAGCTAATTAATACAAACATTAAATATTGACTAAATTATTAACATACTATCAGTTCCAGCAACACTTTTCGGTAGTGATACAGGAGCCAACACAACTGGAAACATACAACCATAAGATTGATTATCAATTTGAATCCTATTGATTTTAGCATGAAACTGTAACATATAAGGATTTGTTGACATTTGAAACCATAATCCATGCAGAAATGTCCTCCGAATTTTTCTCGAGCGTGGTTTTAACATTCTAAGAGTTTCAAAGTTCACTTCAGTTTCTAAATCGACGACCATCCTCCCTTTCCTCGGCTCAATACTTTTCATGCACAAATATTGTTTATAAGCAGCCTCTATTGCGGCACTTTCCTTAGATGACATCTGTTTATAACGATACGAGCCGTGTTTGCAAGTCTCCCAAATAACGCCACTGTTAGCAAAAGCAATATACATTATTTCTTTTTTTAAATTATTATTTACTATGGAAAGACCAAGTCCGAAAATTGAGAACGTTACTTCTTGATCAATGTTTGCAAAAATATCTGCACATTGTGCGTTTCTAGCCACTTTCTTATTACAGGTGAATAAAAGAGTGCGTTGCATTCCATCGAGAAAGGAAGTCCAATATACATGGTTATTTTCGGCTATTTCATAATCACCATAACCATCTTTTCTTAAATCATCTTGGATTTCTCTTTTATAACCGGCTTCCCAACATATAACCCTCGTTTTCGATGGATTTGACCATGAATAAAGCATTTGATGACCAGGATTTAATTTGCTGGGTTTAAAAATAGTTATCATCAACTTGCAAGGAGTTTAATTTTAACTTACAGTAATTGAACAGTATCCTTTTCCCAAATATTTAATGTATTCCTTGTGTTATTAATAATGAGAGCTATTGCCATTCCTGGTTCATATTTAGCAAATGTAATATAAACAGCACCTTCAGTAATTTGTACATCAACGTGAATTCCACCATACTATAAAAAAAAAACCAATAATAATTAAGGGAAATCAAAAAATAATTTTATACCTTATTAGCAAGTTTTAGTACGGTGTTATGACTATCAGAGATATAAAATGGTGGAGATACTGCACTTGTGCCAACAACTCGCATTCGTAAAAGTTTGTCATCAAAATCGCCAACAGGCCATAAAGCAGCACAACTGTTGGGATTTACAATTGTCCATGCATCTCTAGGTCGATTGTGCTCCTGGCACTCAAGTGGAAATGGAGATTTATTAATGAGAACGTAATAAGGTGTGAATGTGACTTGTTTGGTTAAACCATTATTAGCAAGCTCGATGTTAATACCAAACTAAGAAATATAAAAGATAAACTAACTTCGATGTTATTTAAATATGAGTATTTACCTGATAAAATTTGAAATCATATTTACAAATTATAACACCTGAAGATCCAGCAACATCTATTGAAAATTTATCCGACCATTCCCCACCGTATTCAATCCTTATCGCAGTTTTTTTTGCAATAAAATAATTTTTTGCACTAAATGTAAACAGTATTGGTCCTTTAAAATTAGCTGGATGGTGAATAACATTAAAATTTTCGAGGCAAGTCTAAAAATATGAGAAAATAAAAATATACCGTAAAATTAATAAAAAAGTTATTTTATTGGTTATCAATTAATCGGAGCAATTTTAAACTTAGACCACCCAAAAAGAAATTTTTTTAATTCAAATTTTGACAGTGTCCAATTTTGGACATCATGTCTCGTTCATAGAGGTTGTGTGGTGATTCTTCGCCATGCCTTTATGTTTTCCATGTGTAGTGTGCGTCACTTGGGAAATCGACATCTTTGTTGAATCCTTTACTTTAGCTACTTCTTAACGTTTTGCCATCAATCTTCCCCTATATCATGAGTTTTTCAAAGCCGTCCTTCCGTATTGTTCCGTATTCTCAACATTCTTCGGTAACATATTTCAAAAGCTTCAATCCTCCTTCGGCACGCAGCATTTATGGTCCAGGATTTTCTAATAGAAAATACTAAAGATTTCAGAATGCTTGTTTTAGTTACTTTGCGGATACGGTGGTATTTCCAGATTTAAACCAGTCTCCCGAAAGTTTTCTTTGCCATTCCCATTCTTTTCTTTATTTCTTGTTCTGAGTCACCGCTATCTCTTATTTTTCTACCCAGATTCCATCCTTAACCCCTATGTCATAGATTAGCTGCAATGATCGAGGTACTATACCCGCTCGGTCTATAATCATCAAATGACATTTAGATCTATTCAGTTGCAGTCTGTACTCCGAACTTATGTAGTTAGGGAAAGCTTATGATTATGGGTTCTATTACACAAATATTTCTGTACCACTTTTTATCAAACAGTTGTGCCACTTAACTTAAATGCTTGTTGGAAAAAAATTTTAACAGCATGCGTCAAAAGTGGAAGTGTCGTAGTACAAAAATCAAACTGTGTGTTCTGAAATGACTCAATCAAATGCAATTGGCGTTGAAGATCTTAACAACTTGTAAACGGCTGACATCGATGAATTGCTACGAGAAAATCCTTTCGATGAGGACGATTTGATCGAATTTATGACGGTTTATGATAATAAAGAAATCGAAGATGAACGTTAGCTATTAACGGTTAATTTAACTCGAGTGGTCTGCAAATATGCTGCAACTATGGAACAACATTTTCTTACGACCCTGATATAGATCAACGTAATCTTACATGAAAGACAAAATTTTACGTAGAACAAACTTTATAACAACAAAATAACATCATGGTTTTAAAATTAAATATTAAAACAACAACTTACCTTATAGGCTATATTTAGTTTAGATTTATTTAACATCCAAAACGGACAATAAAGTGTCATTAATAGTGGACCTTTGTCCTCCACGCAATGTAGACCCAAATTTAAAACGACGTTTAATGTACTATCGTAGCAGTGGAATGTCCACACTGAAAAGTGAGGTGGACTTGCTGGAATATGTTGAATACAAGTCCACCCTTTATCCAAATAGTTTGGTATCTAAAAGATTATGAGTGTCAAATTAAATTTAATATTTCTTTTGATGACACTGTATTTCTTACTGTAACCACTAGGTATGAAGCACCTGGAATCCCATTCGTTATGGGTAAAGTACAACCCGGTTCAACTAAAAATTCATCATCAATGTTTTGCACGGTTATGGAAACTTTGTATGGAAGATAATTTCGAAATAATACTGAAGGATGAATGTGTATGTTACATAAAATACTATTCATAGTACGTTTAACTGTATTTTCATTGTAAATTTGTTCAATATTACTTATTGTCTAAAGAAAAAAATAAACAGTAGAAATGATAACATTCCTTGAACTCCTTTTTATCTTACCTTGATTACAAATGGCTCCGAATGTCCTAATAGCGTTGTTGGTGAACATTGTAACAATTGAATTTGATTTACTTTCAAATATAGATGTTTCCAAACAAATGGTTGAGTAGTTACAGAATATTTTTGAATTGAAAAAAACAATTCGCATGTAGGTGTATAAACGGCATTAACCGGAACATAAAATGTTTCTTCTGGTTCTATAGAACCAACAAATTCTTTCTCCTGTTCATTAGGAGTTATACAATAAACGTTAATTGGTAGATGTAGATGATTGTAAATCTATAAATTCAGATTATGAACAAAATAAATATAAAAAGTTAAATTATATTATACCTTGACAATGCTGCTAAGAATTACTTTAAAAGTACTTTGTTCTATTACCATAGTTACTACTATACCCCAAATATCCCTATTATCTCGATAATTTAAAGAAAAAAATCTTGTATCGGGCCTAGTTAAATTTAACTCAATTTCCCATTGCATTTGAAGCACCTACATGAAAGGTAAAATTAATGCATTTTATTTGTAATGCCGGATATCAACTTACCGTTATATACAGCTTCTTATCAGGAATATTTGCGTTTTGAAAAATTTGGTTTACAGAATAATCTTGTCGTTCTATTTCTTTATGTTGTAAAATTACTTCGACTCCATGCTCCATAATAATTGATTTTTCCCCAGCTTGTTGATAAACATGAAATTTACTGTGATTACAATCAATTTTCACCGTTAAACCAGATCTATTAATAATTTTATACGGAGGATTATCACGTTGTGATGGTTTAAATGCATTTAAATCGGCCTCATCAGCAAAGGCTTGACCCAAATTCGAGAAGGCTTCCAAAGTAGCTTTAGATACGGTTATTTCTAAATTCGAATTTGATGAAAAGCCAACAGATATCTTCGGTATACCAGACAATTGTATTTCTTCGCCTTCTTGTGCCAATTGAGTACTTGAACCGTTTTCGTTATTCATACAAACATACAATTTTAATTCCCATGGCTGATATAATGTGCCGTTATCAGTGAAAATACCAACAGGTTCAATTAAAGGTTCCCATACAGCGATATTACTGTTGTAATAAACTATTTGTACGGTTACAGTTGAATCAATAACCATCTACAACAAAATATGTTAAGTAAGATTTATGATGAAAATAATTACTTACATCTGTGCTCCAATCTCGAGCATTTCCTTCGAAACTAGATTGTAACATTACTACAGGCATTGCCGCGTTACCATCTCCTATTTCTAGAGTTACAATAAAACTGGGTAATCTTATTATACACATTTCATATTTTCTCCCCTCAAAAGAAACTGGATTTAATGCACCACGAATGTATTCTATAGAATCTTCTGTATCATCTGCTCAAAAAAAAATCTTAACTTTAACTATTTGAACACCAAAAGAGGAAAAACTATACAGGAAGCCAAAGTTTTGCAAGAAATAAGAAAATGTAGACAAAATTCGTGGATGGTCAAAGATCGCCAGAAAACAGTTCATTGTAAAAAAGAGACTGTTTTGTGACTATTCGTTTCTAAAATGCCAAGTGATAAAAACTCTGGACAGAAAAGTAAACATGTTACTCTCTCCATTAATTAGAAGCTGGAAATCATTAAACGCTTGGAAAAGGGTGAATGTTTTGATGAATGGGCAAAGCTGAAATCGCTCACTATAACTAATATTACATCAACCTAAAGCTGGTCAATTTCGGTTCAATTTCGCAGTATTTAGCCGCAAGCGACTCTATGACTTTGCCTGATTATTATAATTTGAGTTGACTAAGCCGAGGTCGTTGATGGCTTAGACTCTACAATTAATATACCAACCCTACAATAATATACAATAATATACTAACCCAAAACTAGTCAACATATTGCTGTGCCTCGGCCGTAAGCGACCTCGACTAAATGTAGTGTAAAGAATCCATAATTTTGCCTGATTATTATAGTTTTTGTTCACTATGCCGAGGTCACTTGTAGTCAAGGTTCTATAACATTATATCAGCGGAAAGCTGATCAACTTCTTGCAGTGTCTCGGCCCCAAGCGACCTCGGCTAGATGTAGGACAAAGAATCTATGACTTCACCTGATTATTGTGAAAATGAATAAATATAGTGGATTAAGCCGAAGTTCTACAATTAATATTATATCAACCAAAAGTTAATCATCACCTTTTAGTGCCTAGATGCTACCTCAGCCAAACTTAGAGTCTTTTAGGATTTTTAGGATTATATGGCGTTAATTGGTAATTTAAGTGTATATTCACTACTGGTGATTACTATTTTTAACCATATACAATTTTCATAATTATTAACAATTTGATTAATTGACGAAAAATAATTAATTTTTTATTACTTACTTGTTTTAAAGAACCAATATTGTTTTTCATTGTACGGTTTAGGTTCCCATAAATTATACAAGTTCGTAAAGTTATCACCATCCATTTTTGAATCATGTTCAGTTAAAAACATTGCTGCGTAGGCGCGATTTAATAATTGTATCGTTGCGAGTGAAATTTTTATACGAATTTCAGTTAAGCAAACCTAATAATTTATTAGTTATAATTAATTTATCACTTTTACTTATAGAGTAGTAACTTGAAAATGAAATTAAAGTTTTTACCTCAGCATGTAAACCTTTGTCTTCCGGTGTGACGCCTGCGATATTAACTGTAAACGGTAACATTAAATGATTTTTCGTTTTCTCCCTTTCAGTTGGGTTATAACAGCATGTGTACATTTGAATATCTTTAACTATACCGTTTATAACTTTTCTATTCTCGTGCGTGCATTGTTTCACCAAAAATTCGAACTTTTAAAATAAATTAATAGCACTCTTAAAATTTCTTGAAAAGAAATACTTACGTTGATAATAATAGCGCTTGTGTTGATATTATTTAGATTTTCCACCAAAACTATGTCAGGTTTCTCAATTTTCACATTATATGTTGAATATTCAACATTTTCAGCTTCAATTTGATTAAGTGATTTTGTAATTTTAGTTGTTGAAGCATTAACATTTTGCATCAGTGTGTTGTTTGCATCGCTATAATCCTCATTCACCGACGAAAGAAAGGTTAGAAGCGTCAGTAGAAATTCCATAGACAATATCAGATCAAATTCTGATATTTTTAAATCGACTAATGATCAAAGTTTTACATTTTTTCAAATATTTCGGAATATTGAAGAGGTAAATAATAAAACAATTTTACTTACTATATGTATGATCTTCTTTCTTTTGATAAATAATGTCTACCATACTTTTATAACCAGCATCAGTGGAATCTATATCAGCGTGGAAAGTTTTTGAAAACATCTTATTTACCGCGCCTTCTCTTCCAATTCTTGTGTCTGTTAGTACGCAATCAACAAGTACAATTGATGCATAAAGGACTCCGTCACTCATCATCCGACCTTTAATACAAAAATCCTCAAAGGATACCGTTGCAAATTTACTTCGAGCAGTTTTAAAAGATCGGGGATTCTAAATAATTAATTAATATCAATCGATTCTAGAAAAAACATTCTCTAAATAATACGTACCTTTAGATAATCATCAGTAGAAAGTAATTTAATACTAAAGTTCGTCATAATCAAGCTAAATTTAATAAAAATTGAAATATCAGCACTACTCGAATCATCTGGTTTACTACACGCAGTTTCAGCAATAACGGACGGTATTTCACGAATTGGTTTAATTTCTGAAGTTGCAACTGCTGACTGTGGGCTTCCTTCTTCTAAATTTCCAATAAGTGTAACCATAACAACACCATAATCCGCTTGTCCTAATACGACCTAAATTTTGAAGGATTAAAAAACTTTATAAAACATTATTTAAAATAAATTGCCTGAATTGTTTCGAAATGTCCTTTGACCTGAATGTCAGGTATAGATTTATACCAAGAAGCCGAAAGATTTCTATTAAGCTTCAAGTTAAAATTAACCGGCTCTACAATAATTATACTATGACGTATGTTTAAGTCCTTATTACTCTCAATTCTGAATACTTGTGTATTAGACAATCTCAAAACAATTTCATCAATAACAACATTGCTTCCGGTATTTTCATTTATTATATTCAAGTCCAAAAATTTATTTTTTATCGTTAAATTTCCCAAATCACACTGAAGACCGTAAAAACTATACGACTTTTCCGGAATGATTACTTTGGGTGCTTTTAAATCAACGGTAATCAACATCTGAGTCGCATTTTCGTACATACTGGCTACGTTTTGTTTCGCTTTGTCGGCAGCTGCTTTAGAAGCTTCGATTATCGCGTCTCTGGCTTGTGTAAATTTATTAACAAAATCCAGTACTCTCGCTACGTAAAAATTCAGAAATACGATTTCCATGTGACCAATGGAAACTGAAGCAGCCATATCTTCACGTCGAGATGTATCGATTAGTTTGTCGTAAAGAAATAAGTTGAAATTTATTACTTCGTCTGATAAAACTTTGATAATCTGGAATTTTGGAAAATGTCAATGAATTTAATATTTCAATACAAAATCTATTTCGATTGATTTGATACAAAATGTTAACATTTTTTGTTAATTTGCAAGTTATTTCAATTTCTGAATAGTACGATGTTTTGAACCTAGCATTTTCTGTTTGACAGAATTACTAGATTCTCTGGTTAAAGGTTTAAAAATTTTCTGGAGAAAGTGGAAGGAATTCTGCAATCTGTACAAAACGCTTACCTGGAAATATTTAGTATGTGGCGATAAATCTTTTATGTCAATGTTTTTCAAAGTAGCATTGACTTGAGTATAGGGTTCTTTAATAATTATTTGAGCCACAACATTATTAACTGTCAGAGATGTAATATCACCAAAATCAGATGCTAAGGTGACTTGAAACTCCTGTAGTGATGCCTCCAATTTCACTAAAATATTTGGAGTATCCGATCCACGAAACGATATTCTTGATTTTTCTGTAAATTGTAACAGGAAATAAATTACATAATAAAAAATTCTGTAATGGAGTATCACTATAATCAATATGTGCCTGCGAAGCAGAAAGCATTTTGTTTAGTGATTTCCTTGCCATCTTCACAGATGATGAACTGGCTCTTAGTCTAACAGGTTTATCATCTCGAAGTACTTCGTCACATTGGATTTGTAAATCATTTACATATTTTACTAAACTTTGTAGGATTTCTTGGTGTAATTTTATTTTTACTACATCAACTTCAATACTTAACAAGGTTTCGGTGCTTTTAAAAGTAGACGCAAAATCTGGTGACTTTTTATCAACCTATAGAAAATATATTAAAGATGATAATAACTACTATTATCTAATAATTAGTAATTATGGTGGATGTGGGGTACATGGAGCAGTGATCATAAGTTAAGAGATACATCCAACAAACACATTTAGTTATTTACCTTTAAAAATTTAATTTCAAATACTTTATCATTTATGAATGTTCCCGACGTAACTACTATCGGAACTTCAAAGTTTTTATGGTATGTATTAAAAGCAAAATTTTCCAACTCTAAGTTAATCACTTGTGCGTATGTTTGAACTTTAAAAATAGCCGCTAATGATTTTAAAGATATCCTTGCTACGTCTTGAATTGGGCTTTGACCATATTCTTGATGTTTAATGTTAACACTTAGTTCTAAAAATTCAAATAATAAATTATTTGTGTACAATTATGTTTTTCAAAGACTTGAAAAAAATAAATCTAGATTATACCGCCAAATAAAAAGTCAAAGTCCAAACTTGTATGTTGTGGGGCGGGTACACCTGGTTTATTTTTCACCTTGGCTTCAATAGCTGATTCCATTGCTTTATAATCCACATTCAAGTAACGTGAGCTTGGGCGTACAACATTTAAATCTTCCTACAATTAATTAAATATAATATACAATATACAATAAAATAGATCTCAATAATAACAAAATTATCCTTTGAGACACGGATTGGAGCAGTTTCTTCCGTTTGAGGAAAAGGAATACTCTTAATTAAGCCAAGTGTTAAAACAAGTTGATAATCAGTTATATTTAACGATATAGATGATAAAGCACCCTCTATTTTACATTTTGGTAATCTTGGATCAAAATCAACTAAACAAATATACAATTCCATGTCCAAATTCATTGGATAAAGAACGTGGTACTTTGTTTTTGGGGATTTTTTCAATATAGGTAACCAATCTTCGTATCCAGGCACCAATAGCACTTGGAAATCGGAAAAACTCAACATAAATTTATCATAACTTTCCGCTTTGAGGGCTTCTAGTAACTCTTCTTGGGTATATTTTCGTTGCTTTTCTTTTATGGCCGATTTTTCTGCTGCAATTGAAACGAACTTCACACGTCCCAAATTAATTGCTATTACATTTTCTGTTCCGCTGTAATGTCCGGCATATGGTATAATCACATATGGAGCGTATAAATCGATTACCAAATCGATTTGGCTGTGATTATCAATTGCGTATTGTATTTTAGCAGATGATTGGTATTTTACATTATCGAAAGATGCCACATCTGACAATCTAATCGAAACAAAATAAATAAATTCTTTTTTTAGTGAACATAATCAACACTTACTGTTGAAGTGTTGAAGAACGAGGGATAGTAACAAAATCCATAAGAGTATTAATAGTAACAGCATCGTATATTACTGTACTTGGTTTTATGGATGCGTATAGTTTAAGTGGAAATTTAGAGTTCAGGGGATTTGTTTCAAAGGAAACACTGCATAGGGCACCGTCTTCGGCGGGATTACATGACATTAATGTTGGTTCTTTGTAAACACCTTGATTTAATCCAGTTATTAATATTGCGTTTATCTTTGCGTTTACGCTAAAATATCATTTTTTATATTAATGTACGATTTTAATAAATACTCACGCTAATGCATTTGCTGATGAACGCATAACCAAGTTCAACTTTACGTCCAAAAATTTTGCCAGCAAAATGTTGTGGTTCATGTTGTACAGTTTTATTACAAACTTTTCTAAGAGAAAGTTGCCGGAAATGTCTTCATAGTTCTTCGGTTGAGTTGGGTCAGGTACATTCTCATTATAATCTATGTCTTCGTAGAAACGCTTTTTTTCTGCAGGGGTCATTGTACGTATCATGGCAGCTAAAACCAAACATTGTAATTAGAAAATCTTTTAATGTAAAATTAAGAGTTACTTGAAAATAACTGTTATGTTTACCTATGTCTAAGCGCTTTGGTTTTTCTTGTATACCTAACCAAGTAGAAAACCAATCTAATTTTTCTTCCTCTTTCGCTAACATTTCCAATTCCATTATAACCTTTCCACGTATCAATACGATATTCATCACATCTAGCACCTCTTCCAAATTTTTAATTTTTTTTTCAGTTTCAGGATTAAGCTATAAAAATTTTATTTCTCGATATCTTGCTGTTATCGTCAAAACCACTTACTTTTTTCGATTGGATTTTTTGTTTATACAACTCTTCATATTCTTTACACATTCTCAAATGACCCGAAATATGATTCCAATCAAAATTATTAAATTTTCGACGCACCTCAGATTCTAAAATACAATTATACGCAAAATGCCACCACTCCTTGTAATGGCCTTTGTAAGGAACGTTTGGTCGAAATTTTCTGAACGGTTTACCACGTTCCACAAATGACATGGCATCAACCAAACCAATTATATCTCGATATTGTTGCTTGCTGATTGCTTTAAAGATATGTTACATATAAAATTTATTATCGATTTATGTATGGATATTTTATTACAAAATTCAAGATGTGGTATTGCCCAATAGGCCGTAACTTTGGGAGTTACAAAAGGATTCTTATCTTTGTCTGGTCGTGGATTTAACTTTACTCGTGCAATAAAATATATAGGTTCTAAAACTAAATAAAAAACTCTCTTTATATAAATTTATGGACTATTCTACAATTAAAACTAACAATAAAATCCAGTTTTGCAAAGATTTGAAGTATTTGAATGTAATGAATTTTAACATACAGAGAGTAGAAAACCAATGGATGGGATTGGATTCACTGATGTCGACCCAATGGGTAATGAGACACGATCCAACCCAACCAACAGTTGAGAAAAAAATATCGACAAATAGAATACAGACACTCAAGAGTCACATTAGGAAATGCAAAACCCAACACAAAGCCCAAGGCTTCACTCAAAAAGTGAAGGATCTAACTGTGGAAATCCAAAATCCTAGCCTAACAGATTAGGCACAATAACATACGAAAAATAAAAAGTAGTAAGAAACAGAATAAACGCAAACACACAATCAATCAAAGAAAGCCGCTTAAAAAAGCTTAAGAAAAATGGGAAAAGTGACCTACAGGACAGGAAAATCTGGAAATCTTTACCGCAGCGCAACGTATAACATTCTACATACACTATACTTTTGCTACTAATAGTGATATTCTTAAATTAAAATAATGTACTAAAGTAAATTAAACAAACAATAACTATACTTACTGTATGTGTAATGTTTAGGTATATAACCTTGCGTCGTAATTTCATTTTGTAGCAGTTCGACTAACTTCTCATATTTAAGATCCCTATAAAGTTTCGAATCGGAATTCCAATAAATTGCTAACGACTCAAGTGTAATAGCCTTAAATAAATTACTTCAGTTAAACCCGCTATAGTACAATTAAAAAGAGATTTAATCTTTAACCCTTTAACAAATATCACGTTATGTTAAAATTTTCCTTTTTGGCAAAGTATGTATAAAAATATATACCCGAATTTATAATCAAGCTGGTAATCTAATACTACTTAATACACAAAGTGTAATAGTTGATAAATTGATGTTTGTGTAATGTGAGAGATAGAAAAGAAACTTGGAGATTCAATTACTTTGTAATTTATCGTCTTACTACATACTTGTAAGAACAATATTCTAAAAACACAATCCAAACACCAAATTACGTCTATACAAAACCATTCATTCACCCACACTCACCTATGAGTCGGAAATTTAGCCAATATTAGAAGAACTAATTGCAGAAAATAGTGGGGAAAGCCAGAGGAGATAAAGTCCAAAACAAGAGCATCAGACAGTAATAAGAGTGGCATTGAAAAGAGTTGGCGAAAAATGGATAGCGATAGGAACATTTACAGAAGTTGTATTTCAGACCCAACACTGTGAGGAAGTGTGAAGAAAGAGAAAGAAGCAAATTGAGGAAATCATTAAATTAACAACTTGATTATTGCGTAATATATAGCGTCCATGTTACATTCGTACGTTCAAGGGTTAAGATTAAAAATCGAACCTTAAAAGCTCTAAGCATATCTTCAAATGGATCTGCAGTAGCTTCATGTGACAGAAATTTCTTATCAGTTGTTTCAACAAGTATACGACTTAAAGTCACACCCATCGCAATAGGAAATTCAGGATTTATAGTTCTATCTTCATACCTAATATGAACTTTTGTGAGGCGTACTTCTATATTCCTGACGGCCATCATTAAATATTTTTCACGTAGTCTTGAAAAATAACCCTCTTCTTTTTTAGCCGCCTCACGTTTCTGTTTTCTAGTTAATTCTATATTTGCCAACTGATTTTGTTTTTCTGCTTGTATTTTAGCGTTTTCTTTCTCTTCATTGTATTCGTCTTGGGATTTTGGTTCTAACAGTATATATAATCCGTCAATTGCTACTTCAAAAACCACACTGCTTAAATTCATAGACGATGGTAAACCTATTTTTAATCTTGCTAAAATCAACATTTTTAAATGAACAAGAAAATTATTAACATAAGTATTAAAACAAAATTCTTTTCATAAAAAAATTTAAATGGAATACTGCGGTTATATTCAAGTATATATTTAATACTTAGAATAAATTATATATTTCAGCACTCATAAAAAAAGTCTAATATTAATTAAAAAATGTATATGTATATACCTATATGACCATAAACTGCCTGAACTGATGGTAGAAACTCATTTAAAACAGATTTCTTTATTACAAGATTTTTCAGGACAAGTTCACCTATTAAAATAAAATAAGAAATTTATATTACTATATAAAGGTTAGGTTTACCTGACGTTATGCCAAGATTGAATTGTGTTGGATCTAAATTGTCTATGTACGTGCACAGGACACCATTTAGTTGTTTAATTAGCCATGATTTGAGATATTGCATAATATATTAAACTTTTTCTTTCGCAATAAACTAAAAAATAGTTCAAAACTTGAACTTTCTTATTTATCGCTGTCTGTCACACAATTGCTGATAATATTTATAATCCAGGAAGTATTCTGCTGACTGACATCTTTCAAATACAAAAGAGGATAAAGACAGATTCGCTTTAAACTTATTTCAGATAAAACTATATTTGTACGCTATAACGTTTGTTGCGCTAATCCTTAAATAGTATTTTTGAGGTAAAAAAAAATTAACAATGATGTAAAAACAAAATATTTTTATTTGGCCTTCATAAAATCTTTCAAATATAGAAGAACAAACAAATATAAAGTTATTTCAGCTTATATAGATAAACAATTAATAAAATATTAAGTCCCAGTAGTAGACCATTAGGATATTAAACATTTATTAAAATAAAGCAACAGATGTTGAAAAGCGTAGTTAAGTTTCATCGCTTTAAGGTGCAACATCAGAAATGAAAGTGTTAGACAATCTGATATATGTGTTAAAAACATTTTTAAGAATTGTGCGAACTGTGTACTTCAATGATTTTCGAGCAAATCCTCTCAGAAACGTTTGGATCGGCAATAAGTATAGTTTTGCCATGATCTGCATGGGCAAAAAAGGTTTTTTTCTTCTTTGGATCCGCAGCCATAACTAAAACACCTTTTGGTACTACTTTTGGTGGCATACTGATTTCATCCCATGTATAAGACCACTCAGCCTAAATGGAATTATAAATAAAACTTATTTGTATCAAAGTATATTTTTTATACTTACTTGCCAAATACCAAATATATCACTATGAACAATATATAATAATCTTTGATCTGTAAGCATTAATATTTCCTTGTTACCCACAATATAAATGTGATAAAGATACAAATCAGTTAATCCAAATTTTCCTTTTTCTAATTCACTAAGAATTTTACTTCCTTGCGCTTCTCTTTCATTATAAGGTCTGATAAAACCGTCAGAGTAAATATAACGACTTGGGCGTAAACGATGTACTTCTTGTGATGATAAATCAGTTACTCTATAGTAAAAAATTATTATTGAAAAGAAAAATATTAACAATAAAAACTTTGTGTGTACCGTTTAACTGTATCTAGAGAACTGCTTGCAAAATCAATGACTCCAGACGTTGGTCGGGCAACTAAACCCACAGCTCCTTTTCCAAGTCCTTTAAAGAATCCTCCAATACCTTGCTCTTTAGCTCCAGATATGGGTTTCTTGATGACGCCGGTAACCCCATCATAAACTCCCTAAATAATTAATAAGTAATTTAAAAACATCCAAAATCTTTGGTTGATAAATAATTAAAGTAAAATAATTATTAACCATGACGAGTCCTTTTCCAGATCTTGCAATTCCTTCAGACACACTTGTAGCTTTTCTATTAAGAGCATCTCGTCGTTTACGTTGGAATTCTTTATCGAATGTTAATGCAGCAACACCTTTACCCATAGCACCGGTAATTCGAGATACTGCACCAGCTGCTCCACCAACTGTATGACCGAAAAGACTACGAACGCCTAGAGCAAGACCTTCAGCAAATTCTCCAGGACCTTGAATAGCTCCCTATAAGTAAATAAATAAAGAACTTCTTGCTAAAAAAAGTTTCATTTAAATTTACCTGGAATGGTTCGTAAAAAAGATCTTCAACTCCTTTGGTAATCCCAAGTACTAAACCGTAAGGATTTCCAAGAACATCTAATCCTAATACTAATGCATATAGTTGTTTTACAGCCTGACCAATGTAATGACTAATAGCTTCACCAACTAATTGCTTTTGGGTTAAGAATGTATATTCTCTTTCAAAATAAGCGATTCTAGAAATAAAAATAAGTTTAAGATATGTACTATTAATAGTATCAGAAAGAAATTTCGATTTTTGTTTGGCCAATTTGGATATTAAATAAGGGACCAAAGCCTGGATGGTTTAGGAAACATGCGTCCTTCCACACGTTTCATTTTATGTTGCTGAACATTGACACTGAAGTGGGAGGCGTTTGAGAGTCACTTTCTTAAACTGTTTGGACCCTGGTAATAACTAAATATGTTTTCAGAATATAGTTTGTATTGAGAATTGATTGCTGGGACAATAACAGCTCTTTAATCCTTTGGCCTACAATCAACTAGCATTAACTGTTCTAGTAAAATTTTTAACATTATTATCATTATTAATAGTTCCATCCAGATTTTGGTTTATAAAAGCGAAAACAACGAGTTTGACTCTGATTTTGATTAAAAATAATTTATAACCAAAATTAATTTTTCATTTAAATCAAATATCATACCTGAATACAACATCTTGCATATCAGTCAAAGTAACACCAAGAGATTGTAACAAAACAGTAACAACATTTGGTGCCATATCAAGTCCGCTACTACCCAATGAAAAGCTCACGTGGATTTTCAATGGTGAAAAATGTAATAAATCATAAAAACTTTTTTGTTCTTGAAGTGATTGTTGAGAAACGTGTTGATATAACGGCTTATTGACCAATTCCGTATCAAGCAAAAAGCTTATTTTCTAAAATGAAACATTCATTTAATAATTCTTCTAATCTGGTTTTATTTTTTAACCAAACCTGTTTTTCTAAAGTGTCTTTAGATGTTTGAAATACTTCCGAGATAGCGGTAACAAATCCTAATTCCAAATTAATGTGAAATTCTTGTATAAGCAATTTAAAGTATTTAAACTGTTTTATTTGGCTGTGTTTGATTAACATCTGCACTATACTTAATTCGGCAAACGGTTTATGTACTAAAATATAAATAAATTGATACAAACACCTATATTAACTAATTATTATAATACCTTGCGTTCCAGCAACACTTTTAGCTAATGATACAGGAGCTAACACAACCGGGAACATACAATCATAAGATTGATTATCAATTTGAATCCTATTAATTTTAGCGTGAAGCTGTAACATATAAGGATTTGTTGTCATTTGAAGCCACAATCCATTCAAAAATGTTCTTCGAATTTTTCTTAAATGCGGTCTTAACATTCGAAGTGTTCTAAAGTTGACTTCCGTTTTCCCATCGACCACCATCCTTCCATGTAAATTCTCTTCTACTTCTTTCAAAGCCATATACTGTCCATAAGACGTCTCCATCATTGCGCTTTCTTTAGGTCCCATCTGTTTATAACGATTCGAACCGTGTTTGCAAGTTTCCCATATAATTCCACTGTTAGCGATGGCAACGTACATTATTTCCCGTCTTAAATCGTTGTTAACCAAAGAAAGACCGATTCCGAAAATTGAAAAAGTAACTTCCTGATCGATTTTTTCAAAGATTTGTGATGATTGCGCGTTTCTAGCTACATCGGGATTACAGGTAAAAAGGAGAGTTCGTTGCATTCCATCGAGGAAAGACGTCCAATAAACGTGATTATTTTCAGCTATATCATAATCACCACATCCGTCTTTTCTTAAATCATCTTCAATTTCTTTTTTGTAGCCGGCCTCCCAACATAAAACTCTTGCTTTCGATGGACTTGACCATGAATAGAACATTTTATAACCCGGATCTAATTTACTAAATTAAAAAAAAATTATCAGTTTATAAGGTTTAATTTTAAAGTTAACGTACAGTAATTGAACAGTATCTTTTTCCCAGATATTTAACGTATTTCTTGTATTATTAATAATAAGAGCCTGTGCCATGCCTGCTTGATATTTTGCAAATGTAATATAAACGGCACCTTCTGTAATTTGTGTATCAACGTGAATTCCACCATACTATAAGAATAATGATAAAGATGATTCAGTAACAACTTGAAATAATTTAATACCTTATTAGCAAGTTTAAGCACAGTATTATGACTATCAGAAAAATAAAATGGTGGAGATACTTCTTTGGTACCAACAACTCGCATTCGTAAAAGTTTATCATCAAAATCACCAACAGGCCATAAACCAGCACAACTATTAGCTTGTACAACTGTCCATGGATCTGCAGGCCGATCATTTTCTTGACATTCCAGTGGGAATGGTGAGTTATTTATAAGAACATAGTAAGGTGTAAATGTAACTTGTTTTGTTAAACCATTATAAGTAAGCTCGATGTTAACACCAAACTAAATAATAAAAAAGAACTTTTAAAATTAAATAAATTACTTATTAGATGTTAATTACCTGATAAATTTTATCATCAAATTTACATGTTATAACACCTGATGATCCAGCAACGTCTATTGAGAATTTATCAGACCATTCTCCACCATTTTCAATTCTTATTGCAGCCTTTTTCTTACCAAAGAAATTCTTCGCGTTAAAAGAGAACAGTATAGGTCCTTTGAAATTAGCTGGATGGTGAAGAACGTTAAAATTTTCATCGGAATTCTAATAAATTTAAACATTAAAAAAGAAACTTATTATGGAAACAAATTTTCATAATTGACAGCTTATTGAAAAGATAAAAACGAAATTAGATAATTTGTGCGTTTTTTTCAATCAAGTGTCGTTCATCGAAATTTGTTTATAAACAAAAACTTTTTTTAGCTAGGTTGTATGGATAAACGTTGATTCATATAAGGAAAGAAATTAAATAAGAAAACAAAACATTTCATTAAATAAACGTTTCTAACAAAATAATATATTTTAATGAAGCATAAAAGGTTTATGCTAGTGATGGAACGGATATCCGGCAACTATCCGGTATCCGGTCATTTTTTAAAATCCGGCCGGATAGCGGATAGTTAGCAAATATCCAGTTTTGGCCGGATATTAAAAACCTATTACTTAGTACTCCACCATTCACAGCAATTAGTATCTCTATTAGGTGTTGGATACTGCAGATAATAATCAAGTTTAACCCCAATAGGACTTTTGCATTGAATACAACTTTATTTATATCAGATTTATCATTAGCAACCTCATTGTAACAATCCCAATACGATATATAAAATCTCTTGTTGCAGTTTCGTCCAGTTTTCTTCTCTTCGCTTGTAATTCATCATCACATTCGTTACTAACAGAACTGTCGCTGTTATCACTTTCGATTATTAATTAAAGTATCCTCTTTGTAATGCAACAAGTCATTTTGAAAAATCACTTTTAGTTCTTGAGAAATAAATTTTTGAAATAATCTACAATTTTTTCGAATTTTGCAATTTTCGCCGATTAAATTTTAATAATTCGTATAAAATCGATTTCTTGGAATATGAGTATGACAATTTCCCAAAATGTTAATAAAAGTGTCCTCTTTCCAATGAACCAACACGTTTTGAACAATAATTTTTAGTTTTTGAGAAAACAATATTTGAAGATTTCATAAAATTTTCGATGTGGCAATATCACTTCAGAAATGCACCAGAAATTATAACCATATTGGCCGGATAACCGGATATCCGGCCGAAAGGGATGCCGAATATCCGATATCTGGCTTTTCGCACAATCACTATCCGTTCCATCACTAGTTTATGCCATGCAAAGTTACTTTTCTCTAAGCTAAGTATGCCAAACATCATATATTTTTATTTATTTTTCTGTGATGTATCAAAATGCACAACCTAAATTGAAATTCATAAATGTTTTAAACAAAAAAATTAATTGATATAACAAACATAAGCTACCACACAAAACTACCTTATGTGGACTTCCAGAAGATTCGTTTTTCTCGACTTTTTTACTCTTCTGCAAACAGTTATTTACATTTTTTTAATGTTCACAAATAAGTATCAGTCAAATTTTGGACGTCACTCGACCAAATTCAGTTGGACTCCAAATTGAGTTGAAGGCAAAGGAATTATAAATGTTTTAATTATTAATTTTTGATGCTGATATGAATCAGCAATTTGATTGCGCCGCAATTTAAACTCATAATTTGGTATTTTGCACTGTATAGCAATAAAACATATCGGATTATCTTGTGAACTCGATTTAATACAATTATATATAACGTTATAATTTCCGTGATGTTTGTGGCAATGGTCAACGTTGCATTAAGAATGTAAGTTCTTTCAGTCTAAGGTTCATCTCTGATACAAATTATGCAACTAATTTGTTTGCAGTTAATTGCATAAATGCTTTTGAAAATTGTTTGATTTCAGTGTACACAAAAAAACTGGTAATTTTGCAAACTAATAACAGCAGAGATAATAATTCAAAAAGATGTTCAAAAATTTGGATTAAATTTTTCTATTTTCTTTTTTATTGGAGCGTAACATCCAACAAACCTTTCAACTACATCTCACATGGGAAGCTTGAAGAAATTCTCAAATCCTCCTGCATTGATGAAGGCGTCAAACAATTCTACTGGATACAGGCTGCAGAAATTAGGATAGAGAACATCTGATGAACGTGTTAATGCCTTTATAAAACAAAGTCTCAAACCCACAAGTATAATCTGATATGCCTTATTGCACAATAAAGCAAGTTGATAATCCGAATTGTTTTGAAATATCATTTTTATCAATATTTCGTATATTCGCATTAAAAATAGTGTAAATATAAATAAAAAAAATTATAAAACACTCACCCTATAGCCAATATTAAGTTCAGATTTGTTTAACATCCAGAATGGACAATAAAGTGTCATTAACAGCGGACCTCCATCTTCCAGCGTGTGAACACCCAAATCTAAAGAGACTTTTTGTGTACTATCAAAACTATCAAATGTCCATACAGAAAACTGAGGTGGACTTGCTAGAATGTCTCTAATACAAGTCCATTCTTTATCTAAGTAATTAGGAATCTAAAAATTGTGAATGTCAAAATCTATTTATGTATCTAAATTTGTATTTGTAAGTTAAGTTCTTACTCTAAGCACTAAATATGTAGCACCGGGGATTCCATTTGTAACAGGTAAAGTGTCACCGGGTTCAATTAAAAATTCTTCATCAACATTTTGTACAGTTAAATAAATATTGTATGGAAGACAATTTCTGAATAATACTGCAGGATGAATATGTACGTTACATAAAATACTATTCATGGTACGTTTTGTTGTGTTTTCATTGTAAATTTGCTCAATACTGCTTATTGCCTGGAAAAATAAAAGCAATGAACAAAATCGCAAATTTCGACGCACAATTTTTTATCTCACTTTGATTACAAACGGTTCTGAATGACCTAAAATTTTCATTGGTGAACATTGTAGCATTTGAGTTTGATTTATCATCAAATGTAGATCTTTCCAAACAAACGGTTGGCTAGATACAGAATATTTTTGAACAGAAAAAAATAATTCGCTTGTGGGCGTATAAACGGCATTAACAGGAACATGAAATGTTTCTTCTGGTTCTATAGAACCGATACATTCTACTTCATTTCCTTTTGGAGTCATGTAGTAAACATCAAGAGGTAGATGAAGATGATTATAAATCTATAAATTTAAATTAGTAACAATAAATCATCAAAAGAAAAACGTATTACCTTCACGATGCTACTGAGGATAACTTTATAAGTACTTTCTTCAAATAAAGTTGATTTTACTATACCCCATGAATCTTTATTATCCCGATAGTTTAATGAAAAATATCTTGCATCAGCTCTAGTCAAATTTAACTCGATTTCACATTCCATTTGAATCACCTAAATAAAAAAAATGAACAGATTTTCTTTGTAATTATTTGTTCCAAATTATATTGTTATTCTTTTAAAAGAAAGTCGTTTTAAATGAACACCTATATAATCTGGTTTTAAAATATTTACTGTTATGTAAAGAAATTTATTATGAACATTTAAATTTAGATTTCCAAATATTTCATTTAAACTATAATCTGTTCTATCAATTTCTTTAAGTTGTAAAGCCACTTCAGCTCCATTCTCCAAAATAACATCTTTTGCCGCTACTTGTTGGTAAACATGAAAGTTACTCTTTTCACAATCAATTTTCACTGCTAAACCAGATCTATTGATAATTTTGTATGGAGGAGTATCACGTTGCGGTGGTTTTAATATAGTTAAATTAACCGCATTAGAAAAGGCTTGACTCATATTCATTAACACCTCCAATGTGGTCTTTGATATGGTTACATCTAAATTAGATTTTGATGAAAATATAATAGACATCTTCGGTTGACCAACTATTAGAGGTTCTTCTGGATCGGAATCTGATTGCGGACTAGTAACTTCACCTCCGCCATTGTTCACACAAACGTCAAGTTTTAGTTCCCAAGGGTTATACACCACGTTGTTGTCTTGGGAATAAGCAGTAGGTTCAATTAAAGGTTCCCAAATAGCAAAGAAGCTGTTGTAATAGGCCATTTGTAGGGTCATAGTTGAATCAATCAACATCTAAAATAAAATTTGTTTAGTTTATTAAGTAAAATTTGAAACGAGCTCGAATATTTACGTCAGCACTCCAATCTTGGATATGCCCTTCAAAACTAGATTCTAATGTTAGTACAGGAAGTGTACCCTTGCCCTCTCCAATTTCAACGGTTATAACAATACGAGGTAATCTAACTATACAGATTTCAAAATGTTTTCTCTCACCGACTGAAACCTGGTTTTGTGCACTACCGATGTATTCAATGGCATCTTCTGCGACGTCTATAAGAAAATGTACACAATTATAAATAACACGTAATTTCGTTGTTATAATTAATCTTACCTGTATTAAAAAACCAATAATGTGTTTCGTTGTATGGCACAGGATCCCATAAACTAAGCAAGTTAATAAAGGTATCAACCTCCATTTGAACATTTTGTTCAATTAAAAACATCGATGTATACGCCCGATTTAATAATTCGATTGTGGCTGGTGAAATTTTTAAACATATTTCAGTCAAACAAACCTATAAATAAATTATTAAGTGATTTTATAATTTTTAGTTAAATTTTAGATTATTTACCTCAATATGTAAACCTTTTCCTTCGGGTGTAGAACCGGCAATATTAACTGTAAATGGAAACAACACAAGATGTTTTGTTTCCTCTCTTTCTGCCGGATTATAACAACATGTATACATTTGAATATCTTTGGCTAATCCGGATATAATTTGCCGATTTTCGCTCAAACGAAGTTTGAAAAGCAATTGAAACTTTAAAAATAAATTAACTGTTATGAAATGTCTTAATTAAAAAAAGAAAACTTACATTGAAAATAAGGGCATTAGTGTTAATATTATTTAGATGTTCCACCAAAACTATATCTGGTTTGTCCAATTTGATATTAATCGTTGTATTTTGGACATGCTTTAATTCACTCTGACTCGATCTTTCAATTTGACTGGATGATTTTTCAACTTGATTAGATGGTTTTTCAATTTGAACGGTTGATTTTGTAACTGGATAAGTACTTTTATTAGATGACGCTTTTTGTGTTGATGAAGCTTTTGTTGCAGGTGGAGCGCCACCAGCATTTTGATCACTAAACGCCGACATAACGAAACTTTGTAGTTTTGAGATAAATTCCATAGATAATATCAGATTGAATCCTGATATTTTTAAATCCACTAAAATATAAGCAGTAATTAGTTTAATCAACAACGATGTATAAATTATTAGTTTGGGTTGATGGAAAATATACACTGAATTTGCAAAAATGCACTATTAGCTAAGTAGAGAGTCAATCCAAAACCGAAAAATATGGTAAGTAGTCTATAAGACAAAAAAGTATGGAGATTACTGGTTTAAAGGGTCACAGTTGATGTAGAAAATGTGGGTTAGTTTTAATTTGGATTTAGGCAGAAAGAAAACATTAAGATAATCTTTATAATCTGATCTTTATATAGGGTGTATCTGAATGACTACAACACACTTAAAGGGGTGATTCTTTAGTGAATTTTAAGGGTACTTTGACATATAAACCATGGGTGACTTCGGCTCTTTTTTCTTTTCTTTTTTTATATATCCATGTTTGATTTTTTTTTAATGTTAAATATGTAAAGTATGGGTTGTGCCAGTAAATATTATTATTATAAAGTTCTGTTGACACATAAGAGATGGGATATGCTCAACTGTTCACTAATTGTTCAAGTTTCAACAGGTTCCAGGCAACAAACAATATTGCCATAAAAAGTATCGTGACACCACATGATCAAATTTACCATTTTGATGTTTTAGTCACTAGGAAGACAGATGGAAGCATAGACCTGGGAGTGTATCAGACGAAGACACATACCAAGAGATATTTACAGACTTCCTCCTATCACCGACGAGTTGTTTCGACGAGCGGAATGGATATGCGACGAAAATATTTTAAAAAAACAAGAAGGATTTCTAGAAGAAGTACACCAGAAGAACGACGACACTCTAAGAGATAACCAACGAGCAAGTAAACAACGCAAACAAGAGGAAGACACGGTAAGTATTACACCAGTCGGTGTCGTCTGCCTTACTTATAGCTAAAGACAAACTAATCCCATTAAAAGTAACGGAAGTCTATTGGCTGCATGATAGTCACTCTAAAGCGCCCTTAACACGATCAATATATATTGTCAATATCTGTGTATTGACAATATTATTGAACGTATGAGTAGAAAGATTGACAGATTGCCAATATTGAAAATATTGATGGGATGGTTTGACGAAAACGAAAATATTTGATATATTGACAATAAATATTGACAGACTAATATATTTTTAAATCCTAAAATATACAATTGACAATCCTATAATAGCTAAACAAGCTTTTTGACGGTATGACATCTTTGACAGCCAGCACAAAACTATAAATATTGATAGTGTGAGACAATTACAATTTGCAATGTTTATTGACAAATTGACAATATTTTATTGACAATATATATTGATCGTGTGAAGGGCGCTTTATTCGTACCAATGACATCTGTAACGTCATTTTTCTGAAAAGCGCACGACTAAACCTAAAATTTTCTACTTCTAGATCCTCTAGAACTGTTAGTTCTAGTGATAGTGTTAGTTCTAGTTACTTATAAAAGTATGGTACCAAAAAAAAAGGATTATAAATAAATGTTTTTGACTTAACTAACAAAAACTAGATAAAATAATAATTTAGTAAACAATTTTACTTACAGTAAGTTTGCTCTTTCCTCTGATGGAAAACAACATCAATCATACTTTTATAACCAGAAGATTCAGAATCGACATCGGTATTATAAGCTCTTGAAAACATTTTGTTTAACATGTCTTCTTTCCCAATCCTGGTATCTTCTATAACACAATCAATAAGTACCACTGATGTATGAATGGCTCCATCTGTTAACATTCGTCCTTTTATACATAAATCCTCCAAAGACAACATCGCCAAGTTGGTACGAACAGCTTTAAACGACCGAGTTTCCTAAAACATTGAATTAATTTCAATCAATTGTAGAGGAAACATTTAATAACCAATCTTTACCATTAGAGTATCATCAGTAGCGAGTAACCTTAAACTAAATTTTTTCATAATAAGACTAAATTTGAGAAACAATGTAGGTTCTTCTTCAGTTGCAGGTTTTTCCGATTGTGTTTGTCCACTTTCAGCCTCGACTGATAATACATAATTAGTTGACTTAATTTCAGATATTGGTTGTAGAGGAGTTTTTGTTTCTACAACAGGCTCTTGAACAACTTCTCCTAAATTTCCAAGAACTATACTCATAATAGTACTGTAATCAGCTTGTCCTAACACAACCTAATCAAAAATGTTAAAAAGTTTTTGAAAATGTTGATTGCGAAAGTTTTAAAATTCACCTCAATCGTATCAATATATCCACTAACTTGAATATCCGGTATAGCTTTATACCAAGAACTCGACAAATTTCTCTTAAGTGTCAAACCAAGATTTACAGGTTCTAAAATCATTATACTGTTGATAACTACCAATTGCTTATTACACTCAACCCTAGATAGTTGTATGTCGGACAATTTTAATTCCATTTCATCCACAATAGCATTGCTTCCAGTATTTTCATTTTTTACATTTATCTCCAAAAAGGTATTTTGAATCGTTAAATTACCCAAATCACAAATCAGACCGTCCAAACTGTTTGAATTCTCGGGAATAAGTACTTGGGGTGCTTTTAAAGTAACCCTAATCGACATTTGGACCGCATTTTCATAAATATTGGTTACATTCTGTTTTGCTTTATCAGCAGCTGCTTTAGAAGCCTCAATTATCGCTTCTCTGGCTTGCGTAAACTTATTAATGAAACTCAATACTTTACTTACATAGAGATTAAGAAATACAATTCGAATGTGACCAACAGAAACAGACACAGCCATATCCTCACGTCGAGATGTATCAATTTCTTTGTTATAAAGAAATAAATTGAAATTTACTACTTCATCTGATAAAACTTTCAAAATCTGTAACATAATTAAATCATAACATAAATTCTGGGGAAGTTTTGGAAAATGTTTACCTGGATGTATTTAGTTTGTGATGATAAATCCTTTACTTCAATATTTTTCATAACCACACTAACTTGTGTATATGGCTCTTTAAGAACAACTTGGGCCATAACATGATTTACTGTTAAAGATGTAAGATCACCAAAATCAGATGTTAAACTGACTTGAAATTCTTGTAGTAATGCTTCAACTTTAAATAATATATTGGGACTGTCTGATCCATACAACACCGCTTTAGATTTCTCTGCAAGTTATAAAAATTAATCAAATTTATTATAACCAAATTTTGAGTGAACTTACTCTGCGCAATCTGCACTTGTGATGTTTGAGAAATTACTTCACTTATTGATCTCTTAACCTGCCTCATAGAAGATAAACTGGAATTCAACCTCATAGGTTTTGTTGGTTTTTGTAATTCTTCAAGTTGAATTTGTAAATCATTTACATATTGTACTAAACTATGTAAAATTTCCTGGTGTAATCTTAATTGTATAACTTCAATATCGACAGAAAGTAGAGCTTCAGTACTTTTATAAGTCGTTGCAAAGTCGGGCGATTTTTTATCAACCTTTAATAAAAAATGAGTTCAAATGAATTTCTTGATACAATAAAACCTCGATTAATACAGGGGAGGGTGTGTATGTTATAGTCAAACGTCTGTTATATGAAAAATTTTAATTTGCACTTTAAACTGTTTGAATGAATAATTTTAATGCACACAAATTCGAACTGCTATCCATACCATTGCGTCGAGTCTACCTAGCTTTATATTTATACCAATAACAGCAGAATCTATGAGGAGTGCTACATCCTGGGATCAGGTGCACAACTTGATGGCCTGTTCGTGACGTCACGCATAGATAAGTAATAGTTTGGGACTTAAGGCTCATAATATAAAATAAAGAACTACAGTCTTTGATTTATACATCATAGAGACAACTCTGGGAATACCCCAAGTTTATCTCTCAACATGGAATAGAACAACTTGAGAAATAATCCGAGTTGGATTCTATCTGTGAGCGCTAATATTTATATTTAACTATCCTGATGTATTAATAGCATAACTATCGAAGTTTTAGTGTATTCAAAAATTTTTATAAGTACCTTTAAAAATGTAACCTTTAATAGGTTGTCATCAAAAGACATAGCTGGGGTAGCTATTAATGGAACTTGTTCATTATGATGGTATTTATCAAAAATCAAATTTTGTAATTTTAAGCTCACAGTTTGAGCGAATGTTTGGACTAAAACTGAGGCCGACAATGATTCTAAAGATATCCTCGCTACATCTTCAACTGGGCTGTGAGAATATTCTTGATGTTTGATATTAACGCAAAGTTCTAAGAAATCCAATTAAACATTATTTTAGAATTAACATATTTTTACTAAACTCAAAATACTATACCGCTTATTGTAAAAAGAACTTCCAAATTAGTATATTGTTGACGACCAACAACGTCTCGTAAAACTTCTTTAGTGACTTCTTCACTGGTAGTTTGCACTTCCTTGTCATTAAAATCAAAGAATTCAAGCGTTTGTGAACTGGGTCGTCTAAGTCGTAAGTCTTGCTGTAATTAATTATAATATACAAAATTAATTACAATAAAAAAATTCATTTGAAAACAAATTATTTAAGACTTACCTTGGAAGCTGGAGAAGTTTCTTCCGTTTTGGGAAGAGGAATACTATTAATCAGCCCAAGTGTTAAAACAATTTGAAAATCTGTGATATTTAATGACAAAGATGGTAAAACACCGCGTATTTTACATTTTGGTAATCTTGGATCAAAATCAATTAAACAAATATGAAATTCTAAGCTCAAACTTAGTGGATAAAGAATGTGGTAGTTGGTTTTTGTACATTCTTTCAATATATGTAACCAGTTTTCACCGCCAGGCACTACCATGACTTGAAGATCGGAAAATTCCAATAAAAATTTATCATAACTCTCCTCAATAACAGCGCTTATTAATTCTTTTTGGGTTAATTTCTGTTGCTTCTCTTTTATGGTAGATTTATCTGTTTGAACTGAAAAGAATTTCGCATGACCCAAATTAATTGCTATAATATTTTCAGTTTCAGTGTAAATTCCACCATATGGTATAATCACATATGGAGCGTATAAATCAATTGCCAATTCGATTTGGCTGTGTTGATCAATAACGTATTGAAGTTTAGCTGTTGATTGGTATTTTACGTTATCAAAAGTTGATGTTGCTACATCTGACAATCTAATTTAAAGAAACCATGTAAAATTTTAAAGTTTAAGTTAAAACTAGTCAACTTACTGTTGAAGTGTGGAAGATCGGGGAATTGTGAAAAGATCCACTATACCATTAATTGTCATTGCATCATAAATTATTTTGATTGGTTTTACGGTTGCGTATAATCTATTGGTACACTTAGAATGTAGCGGATTTACTTCAAAAATCACGTCGCATAAAGAACCGTCTTCGGTGGGATTGCATGACATTAACTTTGGTTTATAACCGGATTGTTTTATTCCAGTTACTGATATTTCGTTTATATTAGCATGGACACTAAAATAATTATTTTTAATATTTTTTATTTTTTTTTTATAAGATGAATAATTTAAAGAATCACTTTTATTACTAAATATTTGACCAATCACTGGCATGTTTGATTGTAATCATACTCTATAATTTAATGAGTTATAATTATGGTTGTTTCATTCATCAAATACATCACAATTAGCACTTAATTAAACAAACCATGGTTATAACTTAAAAACTTTAATCGACAGGTTTACCGTTTTTGTGTTACCAATATTTTCCGCCTCAATCATTCTTGACCGCCGTTATTAAGATTATAGCGAATGATCTTGCATTTTTATGGTAATACTCACGCTACTCCATTTCCTGAAGTACGCATCTCCAATTTCAACTTGGCGGTAAAGAATTGTGTCAACAAAACGTTGTGCTTATCATTGTAGACTCTTACAACTAACTTTCTTAAGAGAAACGAAAGGACAACATCGATGTAATGCGTCGGTTGTACAGCTGCAGCTGCGTTTTCGTTATAATTAATCGCTTTGTAGAATCGTTGCTTTTCTTCGGGGGTCATCACTTCTTGAAATTGAGCAGCTATAAATTAAAGATGTTAGTTAGGTAACGTGTGAGTTCTTTGGAGATAATTAATTTTAAGCTTCTTTTTATTTACCAATATTTTTAGACGCATCTGGTTTTTCTTCTTGATTACCAAACCAACCAAACCAACCTCCTGCAGCTTGTGGTTTATCTCGCTCCAATTTTTCCAATTCCAAGTTAATTTTTTGACGAACAAGTACGATATTCATCAGATCCAAGGCTTTTTCTAATTTCTCAATTTTATTTTCATCTTCAGGAGCTAACTGAATAATCAAAAAAAAATAAGGTATTCTTTATACATCCAAACGTCGTATTTACCTTTTTTGATTGCATTTTAAGTTTATACATTTTTCCATATTGTTTACACATATGCAAATGTTTCTTAATATGATCCCAATTAAAATTGTTATGTTTCCGACGCACCTCAGATTCTAAAATACAATTATAAGCAAAGTGCCACCATTCTTTATAATGACCTTTATAAGGAACATGTGGTCTAAATTTTCTGAACGGTTCACCACGTGACATTAATGCCATACTGTCAGCTAACCCAATTATATCTCTGTATTGTTGCTTACTCATTCCTTTAGAAATATATAAAACATATGCGATTTATAATCATTTAATGATCGAATCGTTTTTAGTATTACCAACTGCAAGCTGTTCCATTTCCCAAGTTGCCATAACTTTTGGAATTACAAAACGATTTGCATCTAAATCTGGTCGTGGATTTAACTTTAATCGTGCAGCTGAATGGATTGGACCTAGAACTGAACAAAAAAAATTTAATTATGTTGAACAAACTAACAAACTACAATAATACTTACTATATGTATACTGTTCAGGTATATTATCTTTCGTGGCAATATCATTTTGTAACTGTTTAATTAACGCCTCTGGTTTTAGATCTCTATAAAGTTCAGAATTGCAGTTCCAGTAGACTGATAATGCTTGAACCTCAAGCATCTTAAATAAATTACAATTTCAGTTAAAATATGGTACATAATATATTTATATTCAGTGGTTAACCCTTTAATGCATGACAATATTATGTGAACTAAGGGAAGTTTAAAACATAAATATCTATAATAAAACTTAGGGGCGGTTCAACATCCGCAAGATAAACTCGGAATAACTATTTCTCGTTATAACTTGAAATGTTAATTCTCGTCAGTTTAAAGATAAAAAAAAATAGCTAAAATAGTTGCATAAACAATAGAACTAGACTCTTTTTCCAAGAGGTAAAGAATATGAAAAACGACTTTAGACCCAGATGTGGAACTGCAATAAAGATTAACGAGGGTAACTTTATTACAGGTGAAGCTGAAGTGATAAAGACCTGGAGAATATATTTTGACGGGATATTGAATGTGCAGGCAGATAAAGTCAACTAAAATATAACAAAGCTCCAGGAAACGGTACTATATCGGCAGAATGTCTAAAAAATGGAGGAGAAACTTTGGCGTTTGCTTTCTATCAGCTGATCAGCTAAATATAGAAAGAAAAGCGAATACCAACGCCCTGGAAAGAAAGTGTTATAGTGTCCACACATAAAAAGGGCGATAAAATGGTCTATATCCCTTGGAAGATATAGGATTTTCCCTAATATTAGAAAGTAGAACCAGTAGAACAAATATTCGCTATTGGAGAAATGCTGGGAATACAACAAAACATTGCACCAACTATTTGTAAATTTTAAACAGGCATACAATAGCATCATGAGAGTGAAGCTGTGAAATGCCATGGCAGAACCAGGCATACCAATAAAATTAATTAAACTCACAAAAGTGTGTGTAGAGGGACCTACAAATGCAGTAATATTTGAAGAAAAACTAACACAAAAACGCTTCTCTTTAAAAATCAGCGTCCTCAAGTTATACTGGCTTATCACTGATGATATAAATATAGTGGAAAATATAACTATCGATGTCAAGGCAGCGTTCATTAAACTAGAAGTTGCTGAAGGTAAGTTGACCTACGAATTAACGAAGATAAAACAAAATAAATGATTGCAACAAGAACTGATCGACGAGACAGAATAGGACAGAATGTGACAATGGACCATTACAATTTTGAAAGAGTTCAGTTTAAATATTAGAAAGCTACAATCACCTTTGAAAAGAACATAAGACACGAGATTGATATATAAGGTAATGAAATAGAAAAATGTATCCAGCCGACAAAACAAAATGGGAATCGGCCAAAAATCGCGGAAACCAGTCAAGGACAATAACACAGATCACTATAGAATGTGGACCAATAGAAAACTGGAACAACTATATAACAAGCCAGATATAGTAAAAGTAATAATCAGAAAGATATAAATGGACCGACCAACAACAACAAGAGAAGCGTGTTCTTGAGATAACGTGTCCCCAGAGGGAAGGCGAATGCTGGGAGGACCGAGGATGCGGGCCAAATTACAATGGATCTACGGGCCCTAAATATCAAGCGATAAAAGGAACTAATGTTGTACGGCAGCAAATTCCAAATTAGCGGATTTAACTCATTATTATTTTGTAATTCTGCGCCCAAGCGTTCGAGCAGGTCATCATGAGACATGACAAAAACTGTTAAATATTACCTATTCTACAAGGTATAGCGGAATAAGGGTATGGATATCTCGACAATGGTAAACTTACAGGTTCAAAGAATCGAGCAAACCGTGGAGAGTCAATAAACGCGATACAGAACGCCGCGATAGCACACGTGCGCTGTAACACTGTACAGAATGGGTGTTAAGGAAGAAGATAATTTATTCTTAATGGAAACATCATCATTAACACTTTGATATCTAATATCAGCATTGCTAATAATTTAAGCATAAAATCTATGAAAATCACAAAGACTTAAAAGATTTTAAGTCTTTGTGTTTCAATCTGTTTCATGAAAAACGAAAATGAATAATTTTTTCTTTAAATAATAAATAAACAACATAACATGGAAGTCTTACTTTAATTATCAATATTTTTTAAAGCCAACAGAGCTCTGTAATCTGAGCATAAACAACAGTTGATGGAACATTTTATTATATAATGAAGTATTTTTATATAAATAAATATCCATTATTATTTTGCAATAATATGATTGACCTGTGTGTATATTAGGTGAGGTTTTTAAGTACATATAATATATAAGTTGGTCAAAAAATGATGATAACACAGTGTTGAAATATAATTGCGAATAGAGGGGTGGTAGATATACACTATACAATTCTCAAATAAGTTGTGCAGCAATAAATGATTGTAACAAAGTAGTAGTTAGTATCGCTGCTGTGCTTCCCTAGCTTATTTGTTTTAAACCAAACGGTGTCACAAAAAATCTGTTAAGAGAACGTAAAATGTTCTTTCAACCAAGACCAAAAATATTCAAATTGGTTGAACAGTCCAGGAGATATTAAAATGTAAATATATCAAAACGCATTGGCCTCCACCACTCTTATTACGTTATTATTATGTTATAACTCATCATCTAACTTTCCAAGATAGGGAGAATTTTTGTTTCTTTATGGCAGTTACGCCCCTTTGCGGTCGAATTACGAACTATAAATAATTTCCAAGTATTTCTCTTGCCCACTTTGCTGATAAGGATTTTTTCCCTAAACCTCTACTCCTTACCCTTTACCATACCGCATTTTTTTAAATCCAACTGGATTAACTATTGATCCTAAAACTGATGAGAAGTGAGTTGTTCTAAAATTTTAGCAGTTTCAGTATGGTTACAGTTAAATTCAAAAAGTATTGACATAAATTTATTAAATCACTCCCATTGAGTGTTAGAAACCTTTTAATATTAATCTTTAATTAAGCTTTTTAAGCATTTTATACAATGCTTGTAATATTTATTATATCTATGATTGTAATCAATAATGTTGTGTTAAATAATTTGATTCTATTTTATATAAACTTTTGTGGGTTAAAGGGTTAAATAAAAAAACAAACCTTAAAAATTCTAGAGAGCTTTTCATTTGGTGAAACAGTCGCCATAAATTTCTCATCAGTGGATTGAACATATATTTGACTCAAAGTAAGTCCAGTTGCAAAAGGAGATGTAGGATTTGTAATTTTATCTTCATACCTAACATGTATGTTTTTAATCCTTACTTGTAAATTTTTGATAATTTGTGTGACGAGTCTCTCAACAAAACCAGCTTTTTCTACCTTATCTTTATTAGCTTCTAAAGCTCGTTGTTTAGCAAGATCCATTTTTTTCAAGTGATTTTGTTTTTCTCTTTGCAATTTCGTGCTTTCTTTCTCTTCATTGTATTCAACCTGAGAATTTGGTTCTACCACTATGTATAAACCTTCAACTGTAACTTCCGTAGGTAAAGTGTATATCTTGTGCCATGGTACTTTTATTGTTAATTTTCCTTAAACCAAAGAAAAATTTTAAAAAAGTTACTAAATTAATACTTTATTTTAATCTGAATCATTATGAAAAAGGTTGTGTTGAATAAAACAATACACAAAAACTTCATAATGACAGAGGTTGTTAAAGGGCATCAAAAAATTTGAATTATTTATCTTATTCATTAAAAAAAATAGGTATGAACCTTCTCAATAATTTCTAAAACTAAAAATTAATTTTATACCTAGTTGACCATAAACCGTCTGAATTGGTAGATCTAAATCTTTTAAAGCAGATTGCTTTAATATCAAATTTTTCAAGACAACATCGCCTAAAAATTACAAAAAGACAATAATTACAACGTCGTATTTATAGGTTAAAATTGAGGTTAGGTTTACCTCCCCAAACGCCAAGATTAAGCTGTTTGGTGTCTAAATTTTCGATGTAATCCCCCAATACCGAATTTAGGACCTGATTTAGAAGTGATTCGAAAACCATAGTGATTTATTTTAAAGGTAACACTTTCCTTTTTTTCATAGCCGCGATGAAACAACTGTCTTCTACGCCGAACTGAACAATAATACTAAAAAATAAAACCTGAAATAGCTATCGTCGTACGACCGGTATGACGGATCGGGTTTCGTGTTGAAAATGTACCGACAATGGTACTAACTATGCTATAGCACCGATAATATAAGCGATGACATCAACATGACCTACATTATACTTGTTACAAAATAAGTAGCAGAAATTATCAATAATGTAATGTTTGATAACCTTACAAATTTGTAATAAATTTTGTATATAAAAATGTGTTTTTTTATGTTTAAAAAACATTTGTGTTTTGGGTAAATAATTAATTCCGAAATCGGATTAATTATTATTTAACTTATTGTTTTTGAAAAGATCAAAATTTTGACAATGTTACACCAAAATTTGCAACAAACCAACATACATACGTATCAACAATGTGTTTTGTATTTGAACTTCAATCATCACTTCCATAAAAAAATCCTATTTGTATAATTTGTCCGTATGATGAGTCATATTAATAAGATTAAACTCTACTGATAACATTTAATGAATTAAATTGTTGAAAACACATAAACAAAACCAAATACAAACCAAAAACCACGTACAAAATATAAGACAAAATAGAATGAAATAATAGTTATTTATATTACAAGTGGGCTAGAAACATAATTGCAGTACGAGTGTGGAGAATTGTACGACGAGGTCGTAGACCGAGTCGTGTAATCACACGAGTATTGTAGTTATGCTCTAGCCCACGTGTGATATACAGCATTTTATCTACGACTGTTAAAAATTACTAAAAAATCAATTTCTTTAGAAAAGTCTATTTGACATTTATAAAAATATTTTGAAATGATTGTTGACAATTTTGAATTGTCAGTTTCAACAACATGTTTACTCATCTGGAATAAGTGTTTTGAGATGTAAAAACATAACAATTAATGTTTATAATAAATAGTATTGTTTCTCTGTAAGTAGATAGCACTTTTTCTTTTGTATTGTTGCTGGTTTCAATAAATTAAGTCTGTTCTGATTAGGCTAAAAATGCGTTACGTAATGAAACCAGTGCGGTAATGAACTTCATTACGTAACTCAAATGAGTGCGGTAATGATGACTTATCCAAGCAGTCGTAGATAAAATAATAAATCAAAACCAGGGGGTTTTTAGGTGATACAGCCTTAGCCATAAGTATTGAGCAACTTTGGAAATATCAAATTAAAATAAATTGAAACAACTTGTATGGGTTTATAATGTTTATTGTTAACAAAAAATTAATACTTAGTAGGCCCACCTTTTGCCTTAATCAGGGCCCAAATTCTTTTTGATAAAGAGGACACAAGTTTTTTGCAGTCTACAGAACTTATAGCGTTCCACTCTAGGCGCAAGCGATCTTTTAGCGCTTCTTTGGATGAATAGTGTGACGCCTAACTTTACGCTTCAATAAACCCCATAAATGCTCTATGGGTTTTAGGTCCGGAGATTGGGCAGGCCAGTCCAGGAGCTCTATATTATTTTCACGAAACCAAGTCATTGTGCGGATAGCTTTGTGACATGTTGCGTTATCTTGTTGAAACTTACCGCTGTGCAAGTTTGTGTCCAAAAAGTGATGTAAAAGAGGGCGCTAATGTTGTTTCCAAAACATTTTTAGAGTACTTAATACTTTTGACCAACACTGTGTATGGGATCTGACTGTTCTGCTTTGTTATCAATTCTTGATGCCAAGTGTTAGTCAAGCTAAGTTTCTCATCTGTAGTAATGGTTGCTGTTCGGGTTTTCTGAATCGGAGACAGGAGTGGATCGCGCCCTTAATCTGTTCGTGTATTGATAAGTTTTGGTTGGTCAATAATTCTCAACTTGTTATTGAGCTGAGCATAGATTCTGTGAACTTGAGAAGTGTTAAGCCACATTGACGCACAGTATTCAGCAGTTGAGAAGACGAGCCTCAGGGCTGTTGACCTCATTTTGTTTCACAGAGCTTTTGTATAATATTGTTCCCCGTTTTTAGTTTTTCCTTATGTTCTTTGAATGAGAGTGTATTATCTATACAAGATAACACAACTAGAGTGTATATTAAATGTAACATCTATGTATTTTGTTGTGGTGTCTGATTCTTCGAACGATCTACAGTTTATTGCAAAAGCCTAGTCGTTGGCGTAATCCTGCTTTTTTTTCTGGCGTATCTGCGATGTATAGCTTAAAGAGGAGCGGTGACCCAGCTGTTGATTTTCATGAGATAACACATTTACATGCGAAAACGCTAGGAAGATGAAGCTTCTGCTGATGTATGCGAACTGCTGATGGTGAAATTATGTAGAAGAGCAACAGCAGAGTCAAGGGGAATAGAGGCAGAAAATAAAAAAGACTTAATTTGACATGTAACTTAGCGAGACTGCCGCTTGCAAAAATGACTCACGTGCATTGACATTCGTATTCCAGCCTTAGAATCATTTAGATCGGTTAACCTTGCTGTTTGGTTACATTGTCATAGATTTATTAGAATTTGAATAATCAGTACCTGAGAATTGTGTGTGATTAAGTTAATCTAACCAAATGTCTACTGCTTTGCATATGAAGATGAAACAGATACAGTATCAAGTAGTGATGCATGGTGATGTTCTTGGAGCAGTTAAATTGTTCCCTTGGCACAACTAATAATTTTGATAAAGTTATGTAACTGTCTCCTGAATCCGGACTGCTGAAGAGGCAAAATGCAATGTGTTGCCAGATAAATATTTAACTGCTCTATCATAAGTCTTTCTAAGATCTTTGAAAGAACCGGCAGAATTGTAATGGGCCTCAGATCCTTACAGCCAGTGATAGGAACAATTTTGGGAATGGGAACAACAAAACCATACTTCCAGCAAGAATCAAGAATACGGGGGCAACACAGTCGAATCATATCCAGGCTAATTCCATCAGATCCAACTCCTGTAGACGTTAAGTTCAATAAAATCTGCTGGATACACTCAGTAGAGACCTCACTAAATGCAAACATGGACAAAGCAGCACGCATCCTATTATTGTTATAAAAAGCAAGATCAGTATCAGGAGTAACCAAGGAGTCATTTACAATATTACTAAAAAATGTATTGATAACATTAGGATCGAACAAATGAGAAAGCAATGAAATAGCAGAAGATTTCAACACGTTAAATTTTCTCAGGTTTTTCCACAAACACTTAGAGTCACAGACGATTAAATTTCTTTCAAAAAATGACTTTTTTTCTCGGCGAATAGCACCCGTGACGTAATTTCGTAGAGTTTTATAACATTGAAAACTCTGCTGACTCCTAATCCTTTTATACTTAGCAAATACTTCATTCCTTAGTTTAATCATTTGTCTGACATTTCAAGTGATCCATGGCAAAGCACGCTTGCGGATTACCTTAGTAATCACAGGCGCATGAAAACCAAATAAGGATAACATAGTATCATTAAAGCAATTTAGTTTGTCATCAATTGTATCAAGATCAACGGCAATCCTCCCAATTCATCAATTGCAAATCCTCATTAAAGGCACGAACGTCAATACCACGGAGATCACGAAAACTAATAACTCTAGCCTTAGTCTTAGTGCTCCTTGATATGGCTGGCTCACAAAAAACTAACAAGTGATCCGAGAACCCAACATCGACAATGTCACAAACACGAAGAAGCAACTCATTTGATATAATAATAACATCAATAAGTGTTTCAGAAAAATTGGTGATACGAGTTGGCTGGTCAACAATCTGCCTTAAACTAAAAGTATTTAGAGTTGAAAGAAAACAATCAGTAGAGGGAAAAAGCACTATGAGGTTAACATTAAAGTCACCTAAAATTATTACTGTATCCATTGCAACATAAATCTCTAATAAAGACTCCTCAAACGAACAAAGAGATCTTTTCTCATCAAAAGATGACAGTTCCACGTTTGCTTCAGCAGGTTCTGTTTCTGGATTACCTGCAACGTTCGTTACATTCAGCAGAGGCTTCCTTCTCTTCATTTAGAAGTTTACCATTCTTGTCCTTACAATACATTTACTCTGGGTTGGTAGCCTTTCTTCTCCCTATCTATCACTCTGTAAAAGTCTTTCACTCTTTGTTAATTATGGTTTTCTTCAATATCCTGGATCTTTCTTTTTATCACCCCTCTCTCCTTGTATTTTATGTGCTTGTTGGCCATTCAGCTTTTTCCTTATTAGTATTGTCATCTTTCAGTGCGTCTGTATTCATTCCGTTTCATTCTCTTGCTGCCTTTGCACACTGTCATGGTTGATATTCTTTGCCGCAACAATCCTTGTTTTTACTAAGAAATGGTCACTATCACAGTTTGCCCCTCTGCATGTTTGCACATTTGCATGCATCATGTGATTTCATCCCTGTATTTATTAGTAGTGTTCTTGAGAGATCCAAGGTACACAAACCTATCAATTTGTTCAAAGAACTATTTTCCAAACTGAATTGTTGGCGAAGGGTTGCGTGGCAAGTCTCTAGTGGCTTTGTCTTCTCCTGGTTAACAGTCAGGCTGGCACATATGTTTTCATAACGTTTTTGAAAAAGTGTATCCAAGCTTATAGCATATTACATAATTATGTAATCAAACTATATACAGGGGGTGTATCTGAATGGCTGCAATAAACTTAAAGCTACACCCCTCCAAAAATGGCGGAAAATTTTGGTTTAATTTTTTTTCTCAAAAACCATAAACGCTAGGAAAATGAAATTTGGGGAATATGTTTAACTCATAATAGGGCACGCTTTGACTCTATTTGTACTTTCAACCTACCCTTCTAAACAAAATGCACTAAAGAATCACTCCTTGAAGTTTGTTATAGTCATTCAGATACAGTCTGTATATCAATCTCAGATACTAATTACACTTTCCCTATGGAAAATGTACCTAATGAAAACTTGTTAGTTCTGTTAGTAAAAAAACTTATTTAACTCCACAAAATCTATTAAAATTTAAATGTTTATTAATATTTTATTTAAAATTTATCAATTAAAAAATAAATTAACTATAAAAGAAATAATTAACCTATTTTTTTCAATTTTAAGATAAACTTATGCACAAAAAACATTTTACACTTACAACCTATTATCTATATATCCACAGCTCTACATCAATAATTATTCATTACATTTTATAATACAATCGAGAGCATAAAATCACATTTTACATAGCATCAAAGTGAAACCGATGCGTTTCTGATAATCTCTCCTTTTTATCTTCCTGCCTTTCCTTCCAGTGCAATACACCAATTATAATAGTGATAAGACAACAAGCGGTCGTTAGACCTGCGACGGACATCAAAATTAATTTACTTGGCGTTACAAACAACTGAGCTTTCCATTGGGACGGTTTTTCCACCGGCCATGGGATCACAACCATTTGAGAATTTGGTATGATCTGTGTCCATGTCCTTGAATAAGTTGATAAACCAACAGTTAATGTATCTACGAAATTAGGTGTTCTTCCCAATCCGAAAATGTTGTAAGGTAAATTTAAACTGAAATGAGCCGATTGCGGAAGTTGAGCTGACGCCGCGTGACGAATATCACCTTCTTGTGTAGTTGTTTTATAAGAAATCCTTGGACCTGGTAAATTTGTACCATAAGTTCGACGTTTCTTTCCGACTCTGCCATCAATCATAGCATTATTAGAATTTTTCAAGCCGGTTATAACCATAACTTTAATAAAATTAGCATCATAATCTAAACTATTTTTGTAAGCCGCTGATTTAAATCCACTCCCATTTATTTGCACCAAAATAACATCTAAAACACCATCTTGGTAAAAATCAAAAAAAGCTGCCATTACTGTTCCATTTGTAAATGGTTTTAAAATGTTCCATTTAACTATAAAAGTTCGAGTAAAAGCACCGCAATTTGAGTCACATGGAACATTTTCCAATAAAAATGATTGTTGTGGTGATTTATCATCAGAAATCATTGTTACTAAAATGTCTGGATAACCATCCATGTTATAATCACCAGAATGTAAAGTAATTGTATCTCTGTACATTAAATTATCATCAGATTTTGATTGGAATCTCCACAATTTGTTATTAGCATCTTTAAAGTTAACTTGAAGATTGTGCCATTTATTATCACAATAAACCATCAATGAACTATTTTTGCATTCATTATCAAAACACACTGGAGTTATTAAGTCCATTCTCCCACGAAGTTCCAAGTCAATGAATAAAGATTGTCCAATTTTCTTAGCATTAGAAGGATGTGATATCGTATGATTAAAAACATATGATTTATCTTGCCCCAACCAAACTTCAAATTGATCCTCAGCAGTTAAAAATAAGTCTGCCATAAAATCTTCATTTAAATCTGTATAACAATTTAAAAAAAAATTATTATTTCATGTTTTATATTAATATAACTTATAAATACCCAAGAAAGCATGAGCATGTGGATGTTTTAAAGCAGCATTACCATTATCATCATTCATTGCAATAGGTTTGAATTTTCTTTCATTTTGTAAAAATACCCAAAACATTCTTTGCCCCTTTTCATTTAATCCAAACAAATCAATAATCATATTTCCATCATAATCAATAGCTAAAGGTTGCCCTAAAGTACTGAGAAGTGGTTTCTCACTATTTGTACAATTCAAATGATTAGTTCCTCCCCACATAATATAAACTTCCATTATTTTTTGCCTCCGTTGATTTTTTGGTACAGTTGTAACCAACACATCCATTAAAGCATCACCATCAAAATCACCCGGTACAACACTGGTGATAATTTTATCTTCAAAACTACATTTCAAAGGATTCGATCTAGAAGTACGTAAAAGTGGTTCTTCTTCTGCTGCTAAAAATATTTCCAGTGTTCGGCTTTCATCTCTTAGCACAAATATATCGGTTAATTCGTCTGAATTGAAATCACCAAAAGCTGCCGGAAGGCCATCAGTTAATGGTCCAAAAACATTATTTGTAATATCACTGCACAAAGTATTATTGATGAGTAAAACCAGCTTTACTGTAAGATATAAAATAAATTTAAATGACGACTTAAGATTCATTTTATGATTCGTTGTTTGTGGGTGGTTTTAATTTCTACATAACACAAAGATTAAATTCTTTTTAAGGAAAGAAACGTAATAATCACACATTGGTAAGGTTCTAGGAATATTTTTGACAGATGTCAGATTTGTTAAAAATAGAAGATAAAAAATAAAGGTAACGAATTTATCGATTGAGATTTGAAATGTTTTATCAGGTTGTAGTTAGGCTTTGAGATAATAGATGTCGCCTTCAACTTTTCAATATTAATTCATTATGTTTGTTTCTTTATGTTATCAGTTATCAGTATAAATTTATATAATAGTTTTTTTACCTTAATAATGTTACTTCAGGATTACTATTTTTATATTGTTATTACTATCATCAATTTATATCTAACTCAATTTATTTTTATGATTAGCAAGGTTTATTTTGATCAGATACATATCTTCATAAATATCCAATGTATTTGATATGGTTTTATCAACTGAAAATAAATTCCATATTTAGTTAAAAAAATTACACATCTAAAGTTTTTTTCTACTATACTGTGACTTATACAAGGAAAAACTTTAAATATGTTCTCTAACTTGTTCTGCAGGTTCCGCCGATAAAATGTTGGGTCTAGTTTGTCGGGAACTCCTGCAACTTCCGAATACCCTGGCATAAACTATCAAATGTAAGGTGACCAACTACTTACGTTCCAAAGGAGTACACTGAAGGGACAAAACAGTATCAAAGATGAGAAAATAAGGCTTAAATGGGAGTAAATATCATCCAAGCACCTTTTCGATGTTGTCCACCGAAATTTCTGTTTGTATTATCTGCTGATAATGTAATAATTTTAGCATATCAGTTGATCAAAGTTTCAGCTATGTCAACTTTCAGGTGCAGAATGGGAGATGTTGTAATCGAATTAAACACTTGTAAATACTTTGTTAAGATAGAGGAAAATCAAGAAGATAATTTGACGATAACTAGAAGTTCGCTGAGATTATACTGAAGGAGTACTGATGTAGTACTGAGAATCAAAGCTGATATTCAAAGACAGATTACGCAGTTATTACTGTGTTTTTCTTGGGCTTTAAATTTTTTGGCTCAGCTGCCCATATTTGTTGCATTTCACGCAGATAATTCTAAGGTGATCTGCATGGCCCGACTTAACTAATACCGTGTTAAGGACTTCATTACAATAAACCAGAATGTATAAACCACACCAATCAGAAAAAAGTCATATTTACTTCTTGCTCCATCTCCTGATACGTTGAGATTATTTTCTCTCTCTTACATAGGAAAAAATATAGAGTAAAAATCAACTCTAAAACATGGTTCAGATCGATCCAATATATTTAGAGTTATTTTTTTGCACTATATAGTGTAGGTGAATAGATTAAAATTTTACACTAAATAGTGAGAAGATGGTGTTTATTTAATAGTGTAAAATCGTTACTCTATAACAGTGTATTATATGTAATCTAACTAGATCTTGTCGTTACTCTAACTAGATACATTTCTAATCTAATCAGTGTAAAATTAACACTGTAAATTATTAAAGATTCGTTCTAATTTTACTCTATTAATTGACAAAATATCACTAAATAGTGTGTATCTTTCACTTATTAGTGTGAATTTTTAATAGGACGTATAGAGTATTTTTAGGGAAGTTTTAGGTTTGTAATAAAATCAAAATTATAAAATATTTGTTTTTATTTTTACTTGTAATATATTGTTATAACATAAAATTAAAAAAATTAAATTCTTTTTATATAACCATACTTAATCCATTTTAAAGTTTCCACCGAGTCACCATGAAAACTGCATCTAATGAGTCTTCTATAAGTTTTGTGTATGTATAGTTGCACATACTTACCAATCTTTGCAAGGAACTCGTATATAAAATTTTCCGGAAGTTCCACTAATTTCACAACACGAATGTTTGGCAAACATAATTAAAATAAAAATAATCGTTCTTTCTTTTTACATCGCGTAAATTAGGTCTCGAGACGCTGTCGAGTTCTGACTTGTTCAGAAGATGACCGTTAAATTTTAGCTGTATCACACCACATGTTGATCACGTGGTACCGACGAGTAATCCCGAGCAAAATAGTGCGGTGCCTACGAAGTACCTGAAGGAAAAGTACAGTTTACACGTGTTGTGTAAAATTTAATGTTTTATATATTACATAACTTCACTAACATGAGTAAAAAAGAACTCTCCTTTAGAGAACTGTAAAAACTACTCTATTAAGTGAATAATATATGAACTCTATATTAATATTAAATATAGTGTACATTAGAGTTGTTTTTACTATGTGGTATTACAATTTTTACTCTAATTCTTTTTACCAACTACTCTAAAATTTTTACACGATACAATTTTTTCCTGTGTATCTTATATTCCTTTCAAGATTCATCGATGTATTAATAGTATTGATGTTACTTAGTCCAATTTCTAGCAACCACACGGTAAAAACTAAGTTTGGATTTATTCTATATGGCTTGTTGTCTATAATGATGCTGTCATGATGTGGCTAATGTAACTACATCTCAAGTTTAGAAACCAGCTTTGAATATTTTATCACAGTATATTATTTTAATACACTTACAATGTTAATGACCAGAATGGACCAGAATCACTTCTTCTTGGGATTGATAGAGAGCCAATACATGTACAAATACAAAATTACTTTATTAGTTATAATACAGTTTACATTAATAAACACAATATACAATACTTGAATTTATTAAAGTATTTAAATGTACGTTATGACTATTTTGATGGCATGGCAGTTGAAGCGATTAGGAAGAAGTATGTAGGGTCTTAACTGAAACAGATTGTTTTACATACGATATTTCAATTGAAGGGCTTATTGCTAGAATATGAAAAGCCACTGTTTGTGCAAAAGTGAGTCTGGAAAGTTTGCGAACGGTTTGACTATCTCAAAACAACTATTTTTCGAATAATTAGTTAAGTAATTTAATAATAAAATTAATTGCAAATGTATTTTTATATACAATTTTAAAATGATCTTTAATATTTTTTATTTTCTACATTCATTATTATGTTACATCATCAGTTACGTTCCCCTTTCAGTTTATAAATCTATCTGCATCGTCCTAAATTCGGAACATAAATTGGGCTATAAAAATGTCGTGTCCTGTATATTACATGCTACCGTTAAAACAGAGTTTATACGATTATTTTGTATCGAACGGACACGAGTTTCACAACATTTCCGTATAATTTTAAGATTCAAGTTTCGTCGAAATAAAGACTGGAACGAGGGAGAGATCTGCGCTTGATCGTAGGGATGCTGCCCTGCGAATGAAATGCTGCGAAAATGAGCCGATTTCATTGGAGAAGTCTTCCCCTAATAACATGAGATTTCAACCAATAGAAAATAGTTTATTCCAAATACTTTTATGTCCTATTTTAGATATAAAATTTTTAATTCAATTTTATTTTTCAATTGCTTAGACTACAATACACAAACGAATCATTCAAAGATAGCAGTTTATTAAACCAATTATTGAAGAAATACCAACATTATTTTTGTTTAACACAGACGCCTCTTAAATAGCCTTCTGATAAACACATAAAAGATAATAGGGTCAAACGTAGACAAGCTATCAAGGGTCGTAAGTCGGGCCTAGAGCTTTCCGGATCATTGATTATCCCATGCAGTAAACAAGTAAAACGTTTTCATCATTTTATTCAACTAAAAATATTAAAATAAAGCAATACTTGAAATTATTATAACAATAAATTGTTTGAGTATGTTATATTATCTAATTAGTTGTTTTGTTATACCGCGTGCCAATGAACTAATCACATTTGCATGCTGATGAGCTCGTAAATCTTCGATGAAAAAAGCAACAAAAAATTTGGTTTTCGTCGCACTTTTTCTATCCGAGTGGAAGCGAGAAAGTAGTTAGTTTTGGAAGGACGGAGAGAAGGGGCGAGGGGCACGGATCTCGTGAGAATGGGGTTGGCATGACTGGAGCTATTAGCCGCCACCAACGGACCGAGATATGCAAATGTAACGTGGTCGCCAGCCCGACCCTGTATCGATCTCGCCGCGACGCCTAATACTATGCGAATAATGCCCAGATAGTTAAAAGAAACGAAAGTGTGTGTATAGGTAGGGTTTAGGTATTTTTAAACAAAACTAGATTACAAACAAAAAAAAATGAGGGAAAAAGCATTATGGAAAACTAAAGTAGCCATAAATCTGTTATCAAATTTATGTAGTTTTTGTGTTTGCATTCGTTCATATTTTAAAACAGTAGAATTACCAATGGGTTAAGTTGTCACATTTTAAAATTGATTTTAAAATTGATTAGAAAATTTGCTGATTCACATCTAAAGGCTACCACCTCTTTCTTCTTAAACAACTTGCGTTGTAGATTTTTTAAATATGCTGCATATAGGAGCTGGTTTTTGGGATGTCATGAACTTCAAGGCTTCATGTTGCAAAACTAAAACTAGAATCTTTCAGGTTGGGTTGGATTGGATAGTTGTGCATCTATTCAATCACGTCGGCACTTTTAAATGCCATGTTGCACACTTTTCTGTTGTTGGTCCGCATTAACCCTTATTTATGTTCCTTCTATTTGCGGTTCAGCTTTCACTGCCATAACTCAGTATAGGGTCAATGATCGCTTCATAAATCCTTGTCTTGGGTTTCCGACTTATCTCATCCTTTCCAAACACACATCAACTCAGGGCATGGTAAGACTTTGTAGCGTTGTCCACTCTGTTCCTGACCACTTCAGTTAGCTTGCCCGTCTGATGGATTGTCATGCCCAGATATTGATAGCTAACCCGGGTGAGAAGTTAACCATTACATTCGATGTGGATGTTATCCACCTGTTTTTCTGTCCTCGTCACCACCATAACTTTACTCTCCTTAAAGTTTCTAACCACTCGACTACACACTGGTTGCCATTTCCTTTCCGAGTCTGCGATGAGGACTACATCATCTGCATATATTAGTTTCTGTTCTTCTCTTGCATGTCTTCACTGCTTCTTCCATAAAAGCATAATTAAGAACGAATCAGGCTGTCTCTATTGACAGGGAATACATTGAGAGCGTATTTGAATTATATCTATAATGGTCCCAGGGTGCTG